ATATCAGATTACAAACACACCTACAACCGTTCATTTAGTGACCGAAATGGTATAGGGTTTCCTGCCTGAGCAGGGGGTTGGACTAGATAATCTCCAAGGTCCCTTCCAACTCTATTATTATTATTATGGATCATCGCACAGTCAGCCAGATGTTCAGACTGGATTTGGCATTTTGTCTACCTATCGAGTCCTTACCCAGGACCTGGGATAGGCAGATGTGGATGTTTATTTATTTATTTTCAAATATTTATATGCCGCCTAATCCCAAAGGACTCAGGGCGGTGTACAGAGTTAAAACAATCATAAAACAATAAAATAAAACAATACAGTCATACTGGGAGTCCGATCATATCCCGCCCCCCCCCGCCCCCCCGGGGACATCAGCCCCAGGCCTGCTGGAACAGGAGAGTTTTAATGGCTTTCTTAAAGGCTGGCAGGGTGGGAGTAGTTCGAACCTCGGGGGGAAGTTGATTTCACCAGGTCGGAGCCACCACAGAAAAGGCCCTTCCCCGAGGGCCCGCCAGCCGACATTGTCTGGCTGACGGGACCTGAAGGAGGCCCAATCTATGGGACCTCACCGGTCTCTGGGAGCTGTGCAGCAGAATGCGGTCCTGTAAGTAACCTGGCCCTATGCCATGAAGGGCTTTAAAGGTGATAACCAACACCTTGAATTGCGTCCGGAGACCCACAGGAAGCCAGTGCAGCTCGCGGAGGATAGGTGACACGCGGGCGTACCTTGGCGCGCCCACAGTCGCTCTCGCGGCTGCGTTCTGAATCAACTGCAGCCTCCGAACGCCCTTCAAGGGTAGCCCCATGTAGAGCGCGTTACAGTAATCCAGTCTTGAGGTGACAAGGGCATGAGTGACTGTGAGTAAAGCCTCCCGGTCCAAATAAGGCCGCAACTGGTGCACTAGGCGAACCTGTGCAAAGGTCCCCCTGGCCACAGCCGATAGATGTTGTTCCAGATTTAGCTGTGAGTTTGATGGTATTACAGATATCGTCGCAGGATGGAAGCAGTTCCTAGTAAGGCCGCCTTTTGCAATTGACTAATAGCGAACTTGTCAATGCCAATGGTGTTCAAGTGGTGCTCCAGTTGTTTTGGGATTGCACCCAAGGAGCCTATGACTATTGGTACTACTCTTGCTTGCTTTTGCCACAGTCTTTCTATTTCTATTTGTAGGTCTTTGTATTTTGTTATCTTCTCCAGTTCTTTCTCTTCTATTCTGCTATCTCCAGGCACTGCCACGTCCACTATCCAGACTTTTTTGTCTTTCTTATCGACAATTGTTAAGTCCGGGGTGTTATGTTGCAGGTGCTTGTCTGTTTGAATTCTGAAGTCCCAGAGCAGTTTAATTTTATCATTTTCTATGACTTTCTCTATTTTATGATCCACCAGTTTTTGCTTACAGGCAAATGATATTTTTTGCAGATCTTCCAATGCACCATTGTTGCTACTTTGTCATGCCGCTGCTTGTAATCAGTTTGTGCAATCTTCTTGCAACAGCTTACCAAGTGGTCCACTGTTTCTTCAGCTTCTTTGCATAGGCGGCACTTACTGTCTGTTGCTGTCTTCTCAATTTTGACTTTGTATGCATTTGTCCTTAAGGCTTGGTCTTGTGCAGCCAGAATTAGTCCCTCGGTCTCTTTCTTCAATTTTCCTGCTCTTAGCCATTGCCAGGTTTTATTATTATCTGCTTTCCCAGCTATTTTTTTCATATATTGGCCATGTAGTGCTTTGTCTTCCCATGCCTCTATTCTGTTCTTCATTTGGTCTTTCTTGTAGGCCAGTTTGGTCTCTCCAGTAGTTAGTAAGCCTTCCTGATATACTAATTTCAGTGCATCTTCATCATTGTTCTTCAGATATTCTTCCAAAGTCATTTTTTCTTCTTCAACCATCTGATGTACTTGTAGCATTCCACGCCCACCTATTTGCCTTGGTAGATAAAGTCTATCAATGTCACTGCGTGGATGAAGGGCATGATTCATTGTCATTATTTTTCTGGTCTGCCTATCCATTGCTTTTAGTTCTGCTTGAGTCCAGTCCACTATTCCAGCTGTGTACCTAATAACTGGGATTGCCCAGGTGTTGATTGCCTTTATGGTATTTCCTCCATTGAGTTTGGACTTTAAGATCTTCTTATTCTCTTGATGTATTCACCCCTAATCTTTTTCTTGACTTCAGTGTGCTTGATGTTGTCAGCTTGAAGGATACCCAAGTATTTGTAGTAATCTTCCTCATCCAGACTCTTAATGTTATTTTCGTGGGGCATCTTGATTCCTTCAGTTTTCACTATTTTTCCTTGTTTGATAGTAAGTGTGGCACATTTGTCCAAGCCAAACTCCATTAAAATATCTTGGCTATATATGCGGACAGTGTTGAGCAGCGATTCTATTTCAGATGATGTTTTTCCATACAGCTTCAGATCATCCATGTAAAGGAGATGGGATAGTCTGGCAGATGTTTTTGATGTTTGATAGCCATGTCCTGAGTTATTCAGTATTGTTGACAGAGGAAACAGTGCAATAACAAATAGTAATGGTGATAATGAATCTCCTTGAAATATTCTTCTCTTGATATTACCCTCTCCCAGTCTCTCACCATTGATCTGCAACTGTGTCTTCCATTGTGCCATTGATCTTTGCATAAATTTTCTGATGTTTCTACTGACTCCTGTTATTTCTAGGCACTTGATTATCCAATCATGTGGCAGAGAGTCAAATGCCTTTTTGTAGTCAATCAATGCCACATTCAGGTTGGTCTTCCTTCTCTTGCAGTTTTCCAAGATCATTTTGTCTATTAGGAGTTGATCTTTTGTTCCTCTGCTATTGGGGCGGTTTCCTTTCTGCTCAGGTGGAAAGAGATTGTTTTCAACTAGATGCTGTTGTACTGCATCAGCTACCACACCAGTTAGTAATTTGAAAGTTGTTGGTAAGCAGGTAATTGGCCTGTAGTTACCTGGTGTTGCCCCTTTTGCTGGATTTTTCATTATTAGGTAGGTTTTCCCAGTTGTTAGCCACTTTTCAATTTCTCCTCCTTGTAGTATATTGTTGAACTGCTTGGCAATGAGTGGGTGTATAACAGTTAGATGTTTCAACCAAAACCCATGCAGTTCATCTTCACCTGGTGCTGACCAATTTTTGATTTTCTTTGCTCTTTTTTCTACCATTTTTGTTGTTATTACTAGTTCTTTCATTTCAACTTCTGTTTTATTTGCATCCACCTCTTTTAACCAAGCCGCATCCTTGTTGTATTTCTTTGGGTTATCCCATATCTGCTTCCAGAACTGCACTGTTTCTTCCTTGTCAGGTACTGACTGATTCCTTGCAGTTTCTCCATTGATGGATTGGTAGAAACGTTTCTGATTGGATTGAAATTGGAGGTTCTGCCTATAGTTTGCAATTCGAGCTTCATATCTACTGATTTTCCTGGCTATAGCTGTTATTTGTTGCTTTATTATTTCCAGTGCTTCCTTGATCTTCCTTGTTTCTAAGTGGTATTTCTTGATTAGGTATTCTTTGGTCTTCTTGTTCTTCAGCTTCTTTTCTTTCATCTGTTCTAGCTTGCTTGCATGTGATCTTATCTTGCTGATCTTATTTTCTAGTCTAACCTTCCATTTTTCTGGTGCACTGTTTGTTTGTTTTTCTTCTTTGTTGATTTTTGCATCCCAGGTATTCTGTTATAACTGCAGCTGTGCTGTACATTAGTTGGTTTGTTTCTTGCAGTGAATTGGTGCTTATACTTGCTATTGCAGTATTTGCATTTTTTAATGCTTGTGCTAGCTGTTTCTTTGAAACAAACTTCAATGCAGGCAGCCTTATTCTGTTGTTTTTGTGCTGTTCTAGATGCTCAGTTATTCTTTGTTTCAATTCTTTTATTTCTTTAGTTAGAGGGTTTTGTTCTTCCTGAGGTAGAGGTGCCTGGTTTCCAAATGAGAACAGTTGTATATCTCTGCTAGATTCCTTCACTGCCAACTCCCCCTGGTTTGCCTCTACATTCTGAATTACTTCTGGTAAGGCTTTGATTTCTTTGCCCTGGGTAAACCTTTGCAGTTCGTCCAATTCTGTTTCTGTGAATATTTTATTTCGTGTTATAAATCGGCATTGATCTGCTAGTCTCTATTCTGTTATTTCTGATTCTGGATGTTGTTCTTTCCAGAACTGGTGCATTCGTTTTAGATATCCTCTTCTTGTTGGACTTGATCTGTAGTAACAGATCATTATTTCTTTGTTTTCCATCACTGTGTATCTGCGACGGATAAACACCTTTTCTTCCAGTAGTTCTGCAGCTGCTGGCCCTGGTTGCTCAGCCAACAGTCCTGAGTCCTGTAACCCATTTTTCACCAGATATCCAGGAACTCCAATATCTAGCGCGGACCTTGTTAACCCGGGCGACGTCCGAGCCGGTATGGCATTCTGCAATTTACGTCTCCCCATATTTTTTATGGGAGAGACACTCTTTGACTCCTCTGATGAGACCTGTCCAGTATGGTTGAACCTCTGGCGTAGCTCTCATCTTCCTCAGAGTACACAAGCCCCACAACCACGTCAAGGTAGTGCCTCACTAGTTGGGTCAAGAAACGTCTTGCAAGAATACAGTGAATATTCTCTTTGGTTGGTGCTTTGATTTTTTTTTTTTTTTTTTTGATTGTGTAAGTCACTCAGAGTTGCCTGACAGTGAGAAAGCTGACAGATAATTTTTTTCTTTCTTTCCTTCCTTCCTTCCTTCCTTCCTTCCTTCCTTCCTTCCTTCCTTGCTCCCTGCCTTCCTCCCTCCCTCTTTCCCTGTCTCCCTTTTCCTTCCTTCCTTCCTTCCTTCGTTCCTTCCTTCCTTCCTTCCTTCGTTCCTTCGTTCCTTCCTTCCTTCCTTCCTTCCTTCCTTCCTTCCTTCCTTCCTTCCTTCCTCCCTTTCCTCCCTCTCTCCCTTTTCCTTCCTTCTTGCCTTCCTCCCTCCCTCCCCTCTTTCTTCTCCTCCTCCTCCCTCCCTTCCTTCCCCACGGCAGGACCCCCAATCTCTGGATGCCGCTGTGCAGACCACCTTGTCGGGGCTCTTCCCTCCTTTCGAGGTGACGGCTCCCACGGTGCTGAGCCAGCTCTTCCGGGTCCTGGAGTCCAAGTACCACGGAGACGGGCTCTGCTGCCTCCTGGACTTCCTCATCCCTCTGAAGCGTCTTTTGGAGCACATCCGCCAGGCCGCCTGTGTAAGTACAGATGGGAAATCTCCAGCTCTGGGGTATGTGTGTAGGTGTGTGTGTCTCTGTGTGTTTCTCGCTCATTCCCTCTCTCTTTGTCTCTCTATCCCTGTCTGTCTGTCTGTCTGTCTATCTATCTATCTATCTATCTATCTATCTATCTATCTATCTATCTATCTATCTTTGTGTGTGTGTACATGCAATTGGCAGCCTTGGGATGTTGGGCTTCAGTGCAGCTCCCACCTGCAAGTTATCTATGACAAATAAAGACTGCCCTTCCAGTTTCTGAGACAGTTGTCTCTCCACTTTGGCAACTTGAAGACAGGTGGACTTCAACTCCCAGGATTCCCCATCAGTGCTAGAAGAGAGTGAGGTTTGTGGAGAGGAGGAGGAGGAGGAGGCCTGTGTGGTCCTTGATACTCTCTGAGCTTGGATGTTTTCTTGCAGACGTTTCATGACCCAACTAGGGAACATCATCAGTGCTAGAAGGGAGTGGGGTTTGTGGAGAGGAGGAGGAGAAGGAGGAGGAAGAGGAGGAGAAGGAGGAGAAGGAGAAGAATGTGGGGTTCCTGGTGCTCTCTGAGCTTGGCTGTTTTCTTGCAGACATTTCATGACCCAACTAGGGAACGTCATCAGTGCTAGAAGGGAGGTGGAGGAGAGTTGTGTGTTCTTTGGTGCTCTCTGAGCTTGGCTGTTTTCTTGCAGACGTTTCATGACCACACTAGGTAACTCCATCAGTGCCTCATCAGTCAGTTATAAATGTAAAACCAGTTCAGGTGACAACGGAATTCAATGGTCTCAGTCCATCCCATCTCTCTCTCTCTCCTTCTCTATCCCCCAGGCTTCCTACTCCGGCCGGGTCTTCCTGCACGAAGGCTGGCCCTTGTGTCTCCATGAGAAGGTGACAGTCCATCTCAGTCCCCTCAACCCGCTTCTTCTCCGCCCTGGAGACTTTTACCTCCAAGCTGAGCCTTGTGGGGAGCAGTCGGCCTGCCTGGTGGTGAAGTGTCTCTCCAGGGACTTGACCACTGCTGCGAAGGTCCCCATCCCTGATGCCACATGCTCGTGGCTCTTCACCGAAGCGTGGTTGGAGAACGTCAACCGGGACCTGGAAGGGCCAACCCTGCACACTTGCCTGGTGGCCACCGGCAACGGGATTGTCCCCGTCCCCTGGAATAAAATCGCTACCCCGGAGTTTGTGCAGCTCCCCAAAACAGAACATCTCATGGAGAAGGATTCCAACCATTCGGAGACCCTCGGCCTGTTGAACGCTGAGCCTCCAAGCAGCCACAGCGGTGGAGACCCGGCCTCCAGACCATCTCCAGGGAAGTATCCGGGACTCATCAAGGTGGACCAAGGTTCCTGGAAGAAGACCACCCTCTTCGTGGTGCCCAGCCTGTGCGACATCATTAGCGAGAACCTGGAAGGCGAGTACGTCAACCTGGTGGAGTTTTCAGAAGCACCTCCCAAGGTTGAGATGTCTTCTCCAGCCGTGACCCCTCATCCCCTTCCACCCGAAGCATTTCCTGCGGCTGAGAAGAAGGGGCTTCTTCAGGCCAATGGCGAGACCGGACCTCAGGTGGCCGCCTGGAATTGTGGGAAGGAGGAAGATTTGGAGGCGGGTCCTTGCACCCCCTGTTTGAGAAGGAAGCTGAGCCCGGACCCCAAGATCCACGAGCCGCGGTGCCGCTACCGAGACTCCTACATGGCGGCTCTCCAGAATCCCATCAGCATCAACTCGGGGCTGATGGCGGCCATCCTGGAGGAAATGGACTTGGCTCAAGCAGCGTCCGCTCCAGAGGACGGCGAGGTCCAGCTGGGCGAAGGGTCAGGCCAAATGGCCTCTCCGAACCCCTTCGAGCACTCCAACAAGGGCCGGAAAGTTGAGGAAGGCCCCAAGTCGGGGGCCACGAAACCCGCCAAGTCTCCAGCCGAAGGTCCTGCGGGCAGCAGTAAATTCTCCTTCCGGAAGGGCCACCGTCCCTTGGCCTCTCCTGGGGAGGGGTCTGGGGGTCCCGAAAAAGCTGGGAAGGGCCCAGAAGGGCCCCGGAAGAAAACCTTGATGGTCTCCTCTCCGAAAGTGGCCAGAGCGAAGCCAGCATCTGGGAAGGGTAAGAGGAACCGGAGCAGGGGGGGAAATGTAGGAGTTTTTGGTTTTTACAAGGAGTGCTTGACTTAATGGCCACAATTGACCCAGAGTTCCCGTCGCTAAGCCAGACGGATGTTCAGTGGGTTTCGCCCCCCTTGGTGACTTTTCCTCCTACAGTTATTAAGTAAATCAAATCAAAGAATAGCATAGAATTACAGAATAGAATAGAACAGAACAGAACAGAAATAGAAATGGAATAGAATAGAATGTAAAATAAATGAAATAAGAAAAGAAATAAAAATATATATATAAAAATAAATAAATAAATAAAAGAAAAATAAAATCATTTATTTTAAATGAGATAAAATAATAAAATAAAATAAAATATAAAATAAATGAAATAAAAAATAAAAGAAAATAATAAAAGAAAATAAAAGAAAATAAATAAAAGAAAATATAAAAAATAAAAAAAAAATAAAGAAAAGAAAAATAAAATAAAATCATTTATTTTAAATGAGATAAAATAATAAAATAAAATATAAAAGAAATGAAATAAAAAATAAAATAACAATAAAAGAAAAGAATAAAAGAAAAGAAATAAAAGAAAATATAAAAAATAAAAACAAAATAAAATAAAAATAAAATAAAATCATTTATTTTAAATAAAATAAAATAAAATATAAAATGAAATAAATGAAATAAAAAATAAAATAACAGAATAAAAGAAAAGAAAATAAATAAAAGAAAATATAAAAAATAAAAATAAAAGAAGAAAAATAAAATAAAATCATTTATTTTAAATGAAATAAAATAATAAAATAAAATAAAATATAAAAGAAATGAAATAAAAAAGAAAAGAAAATAAGAAAAGAAAAGAAATAAAAGAAAATATAAAAAATAAAAACAAAATAAAGAAAAGAAAAATAAAATAAAATCATTTCTTTTAAATGAAATAAAATAATACAATAAAATAAAATAAAATAAATAAAATGAAATAGAATGAAATGAAATGAAATATAAAATAAATGAAATAAAAAATAAAATAAAAATAAAATAAAAAATAAAATAAAATAAATGAAGTAAAGTGAAGTAAAATAAAATAAAATAAAATAATAAATTTGGTCTGTTTCTCTCCTCTTCCCTCCCAGGTTCCAGTCCGACTGAAGCAGCCTCTGGGGATCCCGTGAGACCCCTGAATCTGGACCCTGTTGGCGTGACCCCGTCTAACACTGATGCCCTGATCGACGAGTCTTTTGTCCTGGGATCGAGTCCCTCCGAGTCGGTCCCGTGGGATCTGCTCAACTCCCAGCTTTTATCTTCGGGGATGGCCCGTCTGCCAGGTACCGCTTGTGGGTCGTCTGAGGGACCTTTTCCTGCCGAAAATCTCGCGGCTGCTCCTGTTGTGTTGTTGCTGGCCGGAGAGTTGATCCACGAGAGATTTGGGTGGAGTGGATCCTTAGCTTGAAATCCCTCTGAGATCAGGGTTTCTCAGCCTGGACAAGCTGAAGATGGGTGGACTTCAACTCCCAGAATTCCCCATCAGTGCTAAAAGGGAGTGAGATTTGTACGGAGGAGGGGGGGGATCTGTGGAGAGGAGGAGGAGGAGGGAGAGAGACTGTGGGGTCCTTGGTGATCTCTGAGCTTGGTTGATCCCTTGCAGACATTTCATGACCCAACTAGGTAACATCATCAGTGCTAGAAGGGAATGGGAATTGCAGGGAGGAGGAGGAGGAGGAGGAGGAAGACTGTAGGGTCCTTGGTGATCTCTGAGCTTGGTTGATCCCTTGCAGACATGACCCAACTAGGTAGCATCATCAGTGCTAGAAGGGAGTGAGGTTTGCAGAGAGGAGGAGGAGGAGGAGTGGGAGGGGGAGAAGGAGGAGGGGAGGACGAGGACTTTGTGGTCCTTGATGCTCTCTGAGCTTGGATGTTTTCTTGCAGACGTTTCATGACTCAAGTAGGTAGCACAGGATTACCTGTATAGTCTTGCACCCTTGTATGCATAAATAATTGCATACCAGTCCTCTTCCCAAGGCTTGTGTGTGTGTTGTGTCATGTTATTGACACAATGCAGTCCTCCTTGAAACAAAGAAGCTCTGAAGAAGATGCTCGAACTCAGCTCTCCCTTTGCAAGCTGGACATGCACAATTAACAGATGAATAGAATAACAAAGCTGGAAGGGACCATGGAGGTCTTCTAGTCCAACCCCTGCTCTGGCAGGAAATCTGATACATTTCAGACAAATGGTTGTCCAATCTCTCTTTAAAAACTTCCAGCGTTGGAGCATTCACAACTTCTGGAGACCGAGGGTTGGACTAGTCCAGTGGTTCTCAACCTTTCTAATGCCGCGACCCCATAATACAGTTCCCCATGTTGTGGTGACCCCCCAACCACTTATACATCACCGGGTGCCAGGGGCGTGGCCAAAGAAAAGGGGGAAAAATGGCGGACAGCCTTGTTTGGCGACCCCCGTGAAATGGTCATTCGACCCCAAATGGGGTCCCGACCCACAGGTTGAGAACCACTGGATTAGAAGATCTCCAAGGTCCCTTCCAACTCTGTTATTCTATTCCAGTGGTTCTAAACCTGGGCGAGATGGCCCCCTAGGGGGCGATTTCATTTTTCAAGGGGGCGAAGGAACGAAAAGAGGATGATATGGGGGTGATGGAGCGAGAAGTTTTGGGGACACTTTTGAGATTTTTTTGTACAGTGAATGGCTGCATATCTGTCGTACAAAAGCATCAGATCGCTCGCTATTAGTGGATTGAATTGTATTTTCAAATGTTCCTCCAGCTAGCTTCAGTACAGGACGGCGTACATATGTGAAGACGCATCGCTTGTCTTCATGCGTGTTGCGCAGCAGCCTCTGCCCATACAGTGGCACGCCATTGGCCAGAATATGGGAGATATGGGAAGAAGACTGGAAATAAATTATTTGCATCGATATGTCCCGATGACAATTTTAAAGAAAACAAAAAAAGTGTTTGCATAAATTGAAAAATTATTTCCTATGTTGTGATTGAGAGGTTATGTTGGGGGAGGGGGGCGATGACAACTTCCTCATTGGCTCAAGGGGGCGATTCGTTCAAAAAGGTTAAGAACCACTGCTCTATTCTATTCTGTTCTGTTCTATTCTGTAATTCTATTCTGTAATTCTATTCTGTTCTATTGTATTCTATTTCTATTTCTCTTCTCTTCTATATTTCTATTTCTATTCTATTCTATATTTCTATTTCTATTCTAATTCTATTCTATTCTATTCTATTCTATATTATTCTATTCTATTCTATTCATTATTTCATTCCACATTTTCTATTCTGTTCTATTCTATTCTGTTCTGTTCTGTTCTATTCTATTCTATTCTTCCCACAGATCAATTGTTCTAATTAAGGAGGTGCATTTTTCCATACCAAGCAACCTCTCAAACTCATCTCTTCTACATTCCCCCTTCAAAAGGATCTTTAGGGTGCACAGTTTTTTTTCCCACTATTGCAGGGGCTCTTCAAACGTGGCCCCTTTAATGCTTGTGGACTTCAACTCCCAGAATTCCCCAACCAGCATCGTGATGCTGGTTGGGGAATTCTGGGAGTTGAAGTCCACAGGTCTTAAAGTGGCCAAGTCTGGAGAGCCCTGGACTAACGTGCAGCTTGCCGTGACTTCTTCTGGAATTTCAGGCAGCGTGGACAAGCTCGGGAGGCCCCTGGTTGAAATCCCCCAAAATGGAGGAGGCTGGCAGGACCCCGGGTGCTCCGTCAGAGAGTTGGCGCGGCTTCTGCTCTGCCTTTGCTGCATGGCCAGGTAAGCAAGTCGAGAGGCAAGGAGGCCGAGATGATGGGAGGAAGCCAAGACAGGGGGGATCCCCTCCCTGCCCTCCATGAAAGTGGGGGACGCCCCCCTTTCGCCCCTCCCAACGGCTTTTCCCGGTAAAGGCGACCTTCATTCCCAAAGGAAGCGCCTCCCTTTCCTCATTCTACCACCCAATGAGATATCCTGGGAGAGCATGAGATGGCCCAAAGGCACATCGCCGGGCACTCTCCACCCTCCAGTTGGGGCTGCGTCTTCAGAACAAGTCAACCACCCTTTCCGGAACTTGCAGTAGCCTATTCACCGCGATGGGACAACTCACTGCAGGACAATTTTAACAATTCCTTTTAATTATTTAAAATCAATTTTAAAAAATAGTTTAATTTTGGTCATTCACACTTCATGGTGTCCCTCCGTTTGCATCCTTTCTTTAATGATTCTGTTCCACCATTTTGTTGATATTGGTGTAACTCTTATCCCCACAGCAACTTGGCCACGGCGAGTTGTCCTGTGGCAACTAGGCCACAGTGAGTTGTCTCACGGTGAGTTGGCCATGGCAAGCTGGCCACGGTGAGTTGTCCCACAGCAACTAGGCCACAGTGAGTTGTCCCAAGGCAAATTGGCCATGGCAAGTTGTCCCACTGCAACTAGGCCACGGCGAATTGTCCCATGATGAGTTGGCTGCTGTGAGTTGTCCCACGGCAATTCAGCCGTGGCAAGTTGTCCTAGTCCAGGGGTGGGGAACCTGGACTCTTTTATGACTCATGGACTTCAACTCCCAGAATTCCTCAGCCAGCCATGCTGAGGGGAAAGGGAGAGGTTTCCAAGCTGAGCCAAGCTGGCTCAGGAATTCTGGGAGTTGAAGTCCACGAGTCATGAGGGGGCCATAGTTCCCCCATGTGGGCTCAGGAATTCTGGGAGTTGAAGTCCACGAGTCATGAGGGGGCCATAGTTCCCCCATGCTGGCTCAGGAATTCTGGGAATTGAAGTCCATGAGTGCTAAAAGAGCCAAGGTTGCCTATCCCTGGCTTAGGCCCTTCCTTTCTCCATGTTCTATAGACTCTCCAATCCCTACTTAGGGAAGAAGGTAGTTTATGGAGATGGAAAGATGTTTGTTTGTTTGTTTTTAAATTTTATTGGCCGACCCCTTGCCACGGAGTAATTCAGGGCAGCTTACAATATTAAAAGATAAAACTATACAACCCCTGTAGACGGTATAAATTAAACACTATGAAGATCCAAATACAGGCTTCCCTCAACTTATGATCCCATTTGAAGCCCAGATTTCTGTCGTTAAGTGAAACGTTTGTTAAGTGGGTTTTGCCCCCTTTCACGACCTTCTCTGCTATGTTGCTAAGTGAATCAACTGCAGTTGCTAAGTGAGTCACACGGCTGTTAAGCGAATCCGGCTTCCCTAGTGAGTTCGTAAAAGGGGATCCCTTGACCCCGGGATGCTGCAACCGTCATAAGTATGAGTCGGTTGCCAAACATCTGAATTCTGAGTCCCTGGCCACGGGGAGGCTGCAACGGTCAAAAGTGTGAAAAACGGTCATAAGTCGCCTTTTTCAGTGCCGTCGTAACTTTGGTCACTAAATGAACCGTTTTAAGTCGAGGGCTGCCCTGAACTCAGCCCTGACCCTAAGATGGGGAGGGGGCCATGAATGCTCTGGACAAATGACCATTTTCTCGACCTTCGGAATATCTTCGCTGATCCCCGAAACTCAACCCCAGAATGCAGCCGCCTCCCAGCTGCCCCCTGTCCGTGTTTTTGCCTCGGGGGTGCCTGAAATAGAGCCTCCCAAATCTCCCCCTGAATGGCAAGGGTTGCCCCAAACCTGCCCCTGACCCCACAAATATCTCCCCCAGTTCTAAACTCCCCCCCCCCACTTGCTGCCTCCTCCTCCAGGAGTTCCCTTCTAACTCATTGGCCTCTTAGTTCACCTCCTGGCCAGCAGGGGGCAGCATTGTCTCAATCTTAAAAGATATATATATCGAAAGCTAAAACTTGCTCCTGGCTCGTAAAAGGATGGGAGACCACTAGGAAATCTAGGAAGATGGGAAACCGTCCTAACGACCCCCAAAGGTAAGGACCCTTCTGGACCACCAGCAGGGAGGGTCAAGAGATATCTTTGTGAGGTCCAGCTCGATTCGAGAGTCTCCATCGCTCTGTTTTATTCCCCCTTTCAGGAAGCGCTCCAACGGCCAGGGGGTGGTGATTCTTGTGGATGCCAGGAAAGAAGCCCCTCCTCCCACGCTCCCCACCGCCCTGGGATCCCTCCAGGTAATTATGGGTGGGCAGGATCCACAGCTGGAGATCCTCAATGCTTGCCTGCAGGTGGGGAGGGCGGGGGGTGTGTGTTCTCGCCTGGGGAGGTGGGTTCCAAGATTCCTTCTTGATAACAGGAAGTCCTCAACTTGCAGTATAACTGTTCGTTTAGGGACCATTCGGTTACAGCAGCAGGGAAATATGAACCAGTTGCTAAGCTGGAATGGAGTGGAGTAGAGTAGAGTAGAATAGAATATGGAATAGAATAGAGTAGAGTAGAATAGAATAGAATATGGAATGGAGTAGAATAGAGTAGAATATGGAATGGAGTAGAGTAGAGTAGAGTAGAGTAGAGTAGAGTAGAGTAGAGTAGAATATGGAATAGAGTGGAGTAGAGTGGAGTAGAGTAGAGTAGAATAGAATAGAATATGGAATAGAATAGAGTAGAGTAGAGTAGAATAGAATAGAATATGGAATGGAGTAGAGTAGAGTAGAATATGGAATGGAGTAGAGTAGATAGAGTAGAGTAGGGTAGAGTAGAGTAGAATATGGAATGGAGTGGAGTAGAGTAGAGTAGAATAGAATATGGAATAGAATAGAGTAGAGTAGAGTAGAATAGAATATGGAATGGAGTAGAGTAGAATAGAGTATAGAATAGAATAGAATAGAATAGAATAGAATAGAATAGAATATGGATTAGAGTAGAGTAGAGTAGAGTAGAATGGAATTAACAGAATAGAATATGGAATGGAATAGAGTAGAGTAGAATAGGATAGGATCGGATAGAATATGGAATGGAATAGGATAGAATAGAATAGAATAGAATAGAATAGAATAGAATGGAATGGAATGGAATGGAATAGAATAGAATAAGGAATAGAATAAGGAATAGAATAAAATACAATAGAATACAATATAGAATAGAATAGATTGTAGAATAGAATAAGGAATAGGAATAGAATAGAATGGAATAGAATAAGGGACAGAATGGAATGGAATAGAATAGAATAGAGATAGAGATAGAAATAAAAATAGAAGGGGGCAGAGGAGCGAAGAGCTTCAGGTTGGAAGGTGCTGCAGCCACACACAAATACACAAACATGCACACACACACACACATACACACACACACACACACACACACACACACACACACACACACACTGACCCAGCAAGCAGAGGAAGCCATGAAAGAAAAGCTGGGAAGTCAACGATTTCTCCATTTCCTTGCAGAAAATCTTTCCTGGATCCATCCAAGTTCTTCTGCTGGTGGCAGAGAAGGACACCACCTCTCACCTGGAGAGGTTCCTCGGCCTACAGGTAACTTCTGCCCATCTGCGCCTCTGCCTGAACTCGCATCTCGTTGTGTTGTTGTGCTGTCCAGTCCTCTTCCGTCCCCAAACAGCAGCAGGGCTGTAGGCTGTGTGCGGGGTTTGTGAGGGTTAACCAGGTTTTTCCAGTGTGGGCAAGCCCCACATTCAGAAGAGCCGGCAGCCAAAACAGCTACTACAATCCTGGTTTGTATAAACAGAGGCGCAGAATCAAGATCACCCAAAGTGTTAGTACCGCTTTATCAAACTTTAGTAAGGCCACACCTGGAATACTGCAGCCAATTTTGGTCACAGCATCACAAAAAAGATGTTGAGACTTTGGAAGAAGTGCAGAAGAAGAACAACAAAGATGATCCAAGGCCTGGAGACTAAAACATATAAAGAACCGTTGCAGGATTTGGGAATGGCCAGTCTAGAGAAAAGAAGGATAGTGGGAACATGATAGCAGTCTTCCAGCATTTGAGGGGATGCCACAAAGAGGGGGAGGGGCGTCAACCTATTCCTCAAAGCACCTGAGGGCAGGCAAGAAGCAATGGATGGAAACTCATCAAGGAAAGAAGCAACCTGGAACTAAGGAGAAACTTCCTAACAGTGAGAACAATTAACCCGTGGAACTGCTTCCCACCAGAAGTTGTGGGTGCTTCATCAGTGGAGGCTTTTAAGAAGAGACTAGACAGCCATTTGTCTGAAATGGTATGGGGTCTCCTGCTTGAGCAGGGGGTTGGATTAGAAGACCTCCAATGTCCCTTCCAACTCTTATTCCATATTCTGTATATCTGTGTCTGGACTTCAACTCCCAGAATCCCCCCAGCTAGCAGCAGCATCCAGTTCTGGTCGCCACATTACAAAAAAGATGTTGAGACTTTGGGGGGGGGGGAAGTGCAAAGAAGAGCAACTAAGATGATTAAAGGACCGGAGTTTAAAACCATACGAAGAACGGTTGCAGGATTTGGGAACGGCCAGTCTAGAGAAAAGAAGGGCTGGGGGGAGGGGGGGGGACATGATAGCAGTCTCCCAGAGGGACCAGCGGTTTTGCTTAATGCTCACTTTGTCCTCTTAACATCTGCAATGTTTGCACTTACTGTTGTGAGTCCGTGCCGGCCACTGGACCCGGCAGCGAGCCATCAGAGTCGGAGGAAGGCTCTGAGGAGCTCCAGGACTTACAATCTGGTGAAGAGCCTGGCCCCTCCACTCGTGCTCAGGCTGAGACCCAGCCGTGCGGGGAAGCTGAGTCAGACTCTGAGGACTCACAGCTGGAAGACACCATGGACGCTCGCAAACCCAGATAGGCAACCAGAGCAGGACAGAGGGAGGCCATGGGGCAACTCCAAGGGAGGAGGAGAAGGCATTGAGAAGCCACGCCTTGGGGCTGCGTAATAAAAAGGGAAGGCGTGGGTGGTGCTGGTTGCTGAAGGCAACCGATTGCAAAGGACTCAAGTTTCATGGAATCCTGGTCGGTTTGCCTTGCTTGTGAACAATTCTCCGTTTGCATCGTGTTCTGTTTGCCTCGGGACAATTCTCCGTTTGCATCGTGTTTTGTTTGCCTTTGCTTTGGGGACATTTTGCAGGGCTGTACCTAATTAATAAAAGGGTTTTGTTTTCCCTGCATTTCCAGCCTACTTGTTAAAAGAGAGGTTGGTCATTGTGAGTTAACAAGGACTCACGCAGGCTGGGACAAAACCCTTACGACCGCTGCATCTGTTTAACAACAGTGGCAAAACACAGTGTAAAACTGTGCCGGTCACGTGACTGACCTGTTTTACAACAGTTGGAATGTACGACCATAATTGCAGGAAACTTCCTGACAGTGAGAACAATTAACCAGTGGAACCACCTGCCTCCAGAAGCGGTGAATGCTCCAACACTGGAGGCTTTTAAGAAGAGACTGGATAGCCATTTGTCCGAAATGGTATAGGGTTTCCTGCCTGAGCAGGGGGTTGGACTAGATGACCCCCAAGGTCCCTTCCAACTTTATTATTATTACTATTATTATTTCCCAGGATAGCAGCCGCGATGGGGAACCGAGCTGACTTTCGCTCAAAACTGTGCTCAGAAATGATGGATAGAGGGGCAGGGAAGCGTGACGTTCTACCTGAACAAGCAACAATTAAGCCATTTTTCAAAAACTCCTGACAGACCCATTTCTAACCAGGTCAGAGGTAATTCAATTGTTAGATTAAGGCTGAGCCATTTTTTTCCCTCCCTGAGGCAGGACCATGGGTGGCCTTTGACCCACAGTCTGCGGAGTCCAATTGCATTCTCTCTTTTTTTTATTCAGTTTTCATTAATATATAATGAATAATGGCCCTTCCCGATCAAATGTAGTTAAATGGATTACTCTTTTACATGAAAAGGTAGAATTTGGTGCCTTGTTTTTTGGGCTCAGCTAGGGAGCAGTAGAAACTCAATGTTTTTCAAGCTCGGCCATTTGAAGACGCCTGGACTTCAAGTCACAGAATTCCACAGAACAAAGGGAATTGTGGGTGCTCCATCGCTGGAGGATTTTAAGAAGAGACTGGACAGCCATTGGTCTGGAATGGTATAGGGGTTGGACTAGAAGACCTCTCAGGTCCCTTCCAACTTTGTTATTCTATTGCAGGGGTCTTCAACCTTGGCCCTTTTATGACTGGTGGACTTCAACTCCCAGAATTCCTCAGCCAGGCACGCGTGCCTGGCTGAGGAATTCTGGGAGTTGAAGTCCACCAGTCATAAAAGGGCCCAGTTTGTAGACCCCTGGTCTATTGTCTGCTAGAGTTATGGGTGCTCCATCACTGGAGGTTTTTAAGAGCTTAGACAGCCATTTGTCCAGAATGTTATAGGGTCTCCTGCCTGACTAGAAGGTTGGACTAGAAGATCTCCAAGATCCCCTCCAGCCCTAGGATTGTATTAGTTAGAGAGAGATAAAATACACACATGCACACACACACACAGGGATGGATGGATGGATGGATGGATGGATGGATGGATGGATGGATGGATGGATAGATGGATGGATGGATGGAGAGATGGATGGAGGGATGGGGGGATGAAGGGAGGGAGGGGTGGGTGGGTGGGTGATGGATGGATGGATGGATGGATGGAGAGATGGAGATGGATGGATGGATGGATGGATGGAGAAATGGATGGATGGATGGAGATGGATGGATGGATGGATGGAGAGATGGATGGAGATGGATGGGGGGATGAAGGGAGGGGTGGGTGGGTGGGTGGATGGATGGATGGATGGATGGAGAGATGGATGGATGGATGGAGAGATGGATGGATGGATGGAGAGATGGATGGATGGAGAGATGGATGGATGGATGGATGGATGGAGAGATAGATGGATGGATGGAGAGATGGATGGAGAGATGGATGGATGGATGGATGGAGAAATGGATGGATGGATGGAGAGATGGATGGATGGATGGGGAGATGGATGCATGGATGGAGAGATGGAGGGAGGGAGGGATGGAGAGATGGATGGAGGGATGGATGGATGGATGGATGAAAGGAACAGCTTGCCTTCAGAGGTTGTGGGTACTCCAACAACGGAGATTTTTAAGAAGGGACTGGATAGCCATTTGTCAGAAATGGTACAGGTTCTCTTACTTGAGCAGGGTGTTGGACTAAGACCTCCAAGGTCCCTTCCAATGCTGTTATTCTGTTAATCAATCAATCAATCAATCAAATGGATGGTATAGAGAGCCCTGCTAGAGCAGAGGGCTGGGCTAGAAGACACCCTCCCCCCAAGGTCCCTTCCAATTCTGTTATTCTGTTTTTAAGAACCCTTCGAAAGGCAGCATGGCCCAAATCTTCTCTGCCCCATCCTGACCCAATGATACAACCTGAGTGGGACAAGCTGGCGTGAAAATTCTCCCTCCAGGGCTGAACGGGTGGGGTGGGAACCGAGTTCCAATCCTGCCAGTCTCTCTTCTCTCCCCAGCCATTAATGACACCAACCCTGTTGGTTCGGAGCAGCCTTAATGGACTGCTGGCTACGTCAGCCAGAGATTAAGATAATAACTCAGCCTTGAAAGGGTTTCTGTCCCTTCATTAACACCGCAGGCTTTAATTAATGCAACGGTGAAATATTAATGGCTTTGATAAACTGCCTCTGGCCTGGGTGATTAAAAGGCTCTCTTTCCCAGGACGGGGTGAGGGAAAGCTCCTTCTGGGGGGCCTGATGAAGGGCAAATGGGAAAGGGAGTCAGAAGCCCACCCCTCACAGCCCTGCCTGGTGAAGAAGAAGGAGAAGGAGAAGAAGAAGAAGAAGAAGAAGAAGAAGAAGAAGAAGAAGAAGAAGAAGAAGAAGAAGAAGAAGAAGAAGAAGAAGAAGAAGAAATAGTAGTAGTAGTAGTAGTAATAATAATAATAAATAATAATAGTAAAGTTGGAAGGGACCTTGGAGGTCATCTAGTCCAACCCCCTACACCATTTCGGACAAATGACTGTCCAGTCTCTTCTTAAAAACTTCCAGTGTTGGAGCATCCACAGCTTCTGGAGGCAGGTTGTTCCATTGGTTAATTGTTCCAACTGTCAGAAAGTTTCTCCTTAATTCCAGGTTGCTTCTCTCCTTGGTGAGTTTCCATCTGTTGCTTCTTGTCCTGCTTTCAGGCACTTTGGAAAAGAGCTTGACTCCCTCTTCTTTGGGGCAGCCCCTGAGATACTGGAAGACTGCTATCATGTCCCCCCTCGTCCTTCTCTTCATTAAACTAGACATACCCAATTCCAGCAACCGTTCTTTATATGTTTTAGCCTCCAGTCTCCTAATTGTCTTTGTTGCTCTTCTCTGTACTCTTTCTAGAGTCTCAACATCTTTTTTACATCGTGGAGACCAAAACTGGATGCCGTATTCCAAGTGTGGCCTCACCAAGGCCTTGTAAAATGGTATTAACACTTCACGTGATCTTGATTCCTTCCCTCTGTTAATGCAGCCGAGCACTGTGTTGGCTTTTTTGGCAGCTGCAGCACACGGCTGGCTCCTATCTAAGAGATCCTCCACTAGGACTCCAAGATCCCTCTCACAGTTACTACTATTGAGCCAGGTACCCCCTGTACTATACCTGTGTACCTGTGGGGTACAAGGGGGTCCCCCAGCATCAGTTAGCCTGAAATGCAGGGGTTCAGAAAGTAGCAATAGTAACAGCTGTGTTATATACTGCTTCACAGGGCTTTCCAGCCCTCTCTAAGCGGGTTACAGAGTCAGGCTCTCCCCCCCCCCCATGATCTGGGTCCTCATTTTACCCACCTCGGCAGGATGGAAGGCTGAGTCAACCTTAAGCTGGTCAGGATTGAACTCCAGGCTGTGGGTAGAGTCAGCCTGGAATACGCCTTTCTAACCACTGCATCACCACGACAGATAGATTAGATTAGATTAGATTAGATTAGATTAGATTAGGATAGATAGATAGATAGATAGATAGATAGATAGATAGATAGATAGATAGATGACTGACAGACAGTCAGACAGACAGACAGGTAGGTAGATAGATAGATATAGGAGATAGATAGATAGATAGATAGATAGATAGATAGATAGATAGATAGATAGATAGATAGATAGACCAACAGACAGACAGACAGACGGACAGACGGACAGACAGAGATAGATAGATAGATAGATAGATAGATAGATAGATAGATAGATAGATAGATAGGAGATAGACAGACAGACAGGTAGGTAGGTAGGTAGGTAGGTAGATAGATATAGGAGATAGATGATAGACAGACAGACTAGATAGATAGATAGATAGATAGATAGATAGATAGATAGATAGATGATTGACAGAGAGAGAGAGAGAGAGAGAGAGAGAGAGAGAGAGAGAGAGAGAGAGATAGGAGATAGACACAGGTAGGTAGGTAGGTAGGTAGGTAGGTAGGTAGGTAGGTAGGTAGATAGATATAGGAGATAGATGATAGACAGACAGACTAGATAGATAGATAGATAGATAGATAGATAGATAGATAGATAGATAGACAGACAGATATTGATGACAGACAGATAGATAGATAGATACTGATGACAGACAGATAGACAGACAGATAGATAGTTGTTGGCCTTTCTTTGAATTAAACCATAGTCAGATCTGCCTCTAATTATTGCAGCTGTTCTCTGCTCATTGGAGCCAGTCCAAATTCTGTTCCTTTTTAATGGTCCAAATTCTTAATCTTTGTTGTGGTTATTTTTATGTTTTGTTTATTTATTGGAATTTTATCCTTTTCATATCATTCATACATCACTCAAGGCAACAGCAAATATACCGAATACTGTTTCCTTCTCCTCTTTTCCCAACAAAAAACATCCCTGTGAGGTGGGCACAGCTAAGAGAGAGGGGCTGAATCATGCAGCCGGCTTTCCTGCCTAAGGCAGGACTAGAACTCTCAGTCTCCCAGTGATTGGCCCAGAGTCACCCAATCAGCTTTTCTGCCTAAGGCGGGACTAGAACTCTCAGTCTCCCGGTGATTGGCCCAAAGTCACCCAGTCGGCTTTTGTGCCTAAGGCAGGACTAGAACTCACCGTCTCCTGGTGATTGGCCCAAAGTCATATACCTAAAACTGCTTCCTCCCCCTCTTTTCCCCACAAACAACAATCCTGAGAGGTGGGCTGAGCTGGAAATGTTTCTCCAAGCTGAGGTTGACCGTCATCCCGTGTCTTGCCTGCAGGTGGAGCCAGTGACCTCTGTGAAAGCTTTGAGCCGCCACGTGGACCACGGCCAGCTGACCCCGGCTTTTGACGGCCACTTCCCCTACAACCACGGGGAATGGGTGCAGTTCTTCCAGGTACCCTCTTCTCCCGCCCTTATCCATTTGGGGAGGGGTCTTGGGCCACAAACCGGCTCCTTAGGCCTCCCCGGCAGGGGAGTCCATGCAGGGGGGGTCCAAAAAGTCAAGATGGCAACTGCTGGGGTGTGATTGAGGTTCCATCTTGGTTTTGTTTTAATTTAATTTTATTTAATTTTTAATTTAATTTAATTTTTAATTTAATTTAATAATTTAATTTAATTTTATTTAATTTTTAATTTTATTTAATAATTTAATTTTATTTAGTTTTAATTTAATTTAATTATTTAATTTAATTTTTAATTTAATTTAATAATTTAATTTTTAATTTAATTTAATAATTTAATTTATGCAGCACAGATTAAGATCAGGTAGAGCGATCTTGAATTTTGGGACCTGGTGATGCCCTTGTTTCACTGACTTTTGTGATTTATCGTGGAGTTTCTCACTTGGAAAAAAAAAAAAAAACTCTAGTCCCTTTCGTGGCTTTCAGCCCCAAACGCCAAGGCCTGCCCCATATCCACAAGCTTGGATGTGGTAGTAGGGGATCTCCCTGGCGGTAAAACCCAATTTACAGTATTTATCTGCTTGTTTGTATCCCACCTTTATTCTTTTTAAAAATAATTCAAGGTGGCCAACATATCCAATATCATGTCCTTCCTTCTGTTTTCGCCACAACGACAACCCTGTGAGGTGGGCTGGGCAGAGAGAAAGTGACCCGACCAAAGTCACCCAGCCAGCTTTCATGTCTAAGGCGGGACTAGAACTCACCGTCTCCCGGTGATTGGCCCAAAGTCACCCAGCTGGCTTTTGTGCCCAAGGCAGGACTAGAACTCACCGTCTCCTGGTGATTGGCCCAAAGTCATCCAGCCAGCTTTCATACCTAAGGCAGGACTAGAACTCACCGTCTCCTGGTGATTGGCCCAAAAATCATCCAGCCAGCTTTCATGCCTAAGGCAGGACTAGAACTCCCCGTCTCCTGGTGATTGGCCCAAAGTCACCCAGCTGGCTTTTGTGCCCAAGGCAGGACTAGAACTCACCGTCTCCTGGTGATGGGCCCAAAGTCACCCAGCTGTCTTTTGTGCCCAAGGCAGGACTAGAACTCACCGTCTCCTAGTGATTGGCCCAGAGTCATTCAGCTGGCTTTCCTGCGTAAGCTGGAACTACAACTCACTGTCTCCCTGCAATTAACTGCAAGTCACCTAGCCAGCCTTCATAGCTAAGGCAGGACTAGAACTCCCACGTCCTGGGAACTGGTCCAGAGGCACCCAGCTGGCTTTCTAGCCTGGTGTCGTAACCACTAGGCCCAAGCGATCCCTACTGGGGAATACGCTGTGAATTAGCCATCCGCTGAAGGGGGGCGAAGAGCTTGTAGCAGGTAGAAAAATCTGCTCTAGGAGAGCCCAAATGTGTGTCAGGAGGACACACGCACACAGCTGCTCGGAGACTGGCGTCTCTGGGTCTGAGACCTGCCTTCTCCCCATCTTTCATGGGGGGCATGCGGGCTTTTTTGCATGGCTGCCCCCCGCTTTATCACCCCAATTGTCCTCCCCGGTGACCCGTATTTTACTCAGATGCCACTTTGCAATACCAGCCGATCAATCTGTAGACCCGCAACCTTCCTTGTGACCAAATGTCTTTGGGTGATTCCTTCTCCTAGAAAGTCCACCATTTCGTCAGTGGTCTCAAAAAGGCCTCTGAGTTGCTGCGGACCACCACCCAGGAGCTGGAGAAGGAAGAGGCTCTGGAGACCTTGCAGGTAAAGGTGTGGGAGGTCTACTGGAAGCGAGGTCTGAGGCCACGCGTCGGCCAGGTCGTGCGGTCTGCTTCTTTCCCTGGCTCTGAAGGACTGAATTGGTCTCGGTGGGGTCCTGGTCATGATCCAGACTTGGGAACATCACCAGTGGTGCAGGAGGAGGAGGAGAAGGAGAAAAAAGGAGGAGGAGGAGGAGGAGGAGGAGGAGGAGGAGGAGGAGGAGGAGGAGGAGGAGGAGAGGAGGAGGGGGACGACGACTCTGACTCTGGAGTCCTTGGTGCTCTCTGAGCTTGGATATTTTCTTGGAGAGGTTTCATGACCCAACTAGGGAACATCATCTGGGCTAGAAAGGCAGGTGGTTTGTGGAAAGGAGGAGCAGGAGGAGGAGGAGAAAAAAAAGGAAGGGAAGGAGCAGGAGGTGAAGGAGGAGGAAGGGAGGAGGAGGAAGAGGAGGATGACGACTATGGGGGTCCTTGGTGTTCTCTGAGCTTGGATGTTCTTGGAGATGTTTCATGACCCAACTATGCAACATTATCAGTGCTAGAAAGGTGGTTTGTGGAAAGCAGGAGGAGAAAAAAGGAGGAGGGGAAGGAGGAGGAGGAAAAGAGGAGGAGGAGGAGGAGGAAGAGGAAAGGAGGGGGGGAGGGGGAGGAGGAGAAAAAGGAGAGGAAGGAGGAAGAGAAAGGGAGGAGGAGGAGGAAGAGGAGAACTATGGGGTCCTTGGTGCTCTCAGAGCTTGTTGGTTTTCTTGTAGACGTTTCATTATCCAACATTCAGCCCTGATGCTGTTCCCTAGTTGGGTCGTGAAACGTCTGTAAGAAAACCACCCAGCTCAGAGAGCACCCAGGACCCCCACAGCTCATCCCTGAGCTACAGATGTCCTTTTCTACTGCAAAGGGGATGTCATGGTTCCGACAGATGAAACCCATCAAAAGGACTTCAAGGCACGAGCTCTTCCTTAAAGAACATTTTATTCAGGAAACAAAGTATCGGCACCCCATAGTTGAACCCAAAACTAAATTCCCTTCCCCTCGGATACAAAGTAACAAATGGCAACTCCCACCCCCAATAAGCCATCATAAATCACATTCTCCAATGAGCCTGAAAGGCGGGCTTTCTCTCCAGCTCCTCAGCCCGCCAAACCTTGAGTTCCCACAGAGCGGCATTATTATGGCTAGCTGAGTTCAAGCATTCGTCCCAACCTGATCCCTAAATAGAAGGAAAAGCATGTTAAAAGCAAAGCGGAAATGGCTGCAATTTTCATCAGTTGTCCGAGTGGGAACATCCCAATGTTTACAGTGTTGACAGGGGGCATGTGGGAGCTGGGGGGGGGTGGCAAGCGGGCCCAAGGACAGTGGGACAATAGAAAGTGGAGCCAAGGTGCCTCAGAAGTTAGGGGAGGCCCAGGCAGGCGACTTGTAATAGTAATAGTAGTAAAGTTGGAAGGGACCTTGGAGGTCATCTAGTCCAACCCCCTGCTCAGGCAGCAAACCCTACACCATTTCAGACAAATGGTTGTCCAGTCTCTTCTTGAAAACTTCCAGTGTTGGAGCATTCAGAGCTTCTGGAGGCAGGTAGTTCCACTGGTTAATTGTTCTAACTGTCAGGAAGTTTCTCCTTAGTTCCAGGTTGCTTCTCTCCTTGATCAGTTTCCACCCATTGCTTCTTGTCCTGCCTTCAGGGGCTTTGGAGAATAGCTTGACTCCCTCTTCTTTGGGGCAGCCCCTGAGATACTGGAAGGCTGCTATCCTGTCCTCCCTCGTCCTTCTCTTCATTAAACTAGACATACCCAATTCCAGCAACCGTTCCTTATATGTTTTAGCCTCCAGTCCCCTCATCATTGTGAGCTGGAAAGGTGGACCTGGGCTGGCAGTAGGCCTCCCGGTGCGTCCCCCACCTCCTTAGGCACTCCATGCTCCTCTTAACAACCTGTGCGGTCACTTAAGGACCGCAACAGAGAGAGCAGGGGTTGGCACATTGAGCAAGGCAAACCCATGCGGGCATCGCTTATCAGCCACCGTCATTTCTGATTCATTATTATGGTCATAAAGCGAGGACTGCCTGGCCCAAAGCGACCCAAAGAGCATTGGCTGACCGGTGGCCTCGTCCCCCAGGCGGTGGAGCGCCAGCTGAGCAGGCACCGGCAGCTCATGCAGGAGGTTCTGCGCAATGCCCAGCTGGTGAGCCTGCAGAGGGAAGGAGGCGCCACCCTGGCCCGGCTGCGGAAGGAGGCGGCCCGACTCGGCTTCAATCCGGACGTCCGGTAGGGAAGCAAAATCCTCGGGGCACCTCGGAGGAGGAGGAGGAGGAGGAGGAGGAGGAGGAGGAGGACTGTGGGGTCCTTGGTGCTCTCTGAGCTTGGGTGTTTCCTTGTGGATGTTTCATGACCCAACTAGGGAACATTATCAGTGCTGGAAGGGAGGGGGGTTTGCAGAGAGGAAGAGGAGGAACTGTGGGGGTCCTTGGTGCTCTCTGAGCTTGCTTGTTTTCTTGCAGATCTTTCATGACCCAACTAGGTAACATCTCCAGTGTTAGAAGGGAGTTGGGTTGCAGAGAGGAGGAGGAGGAGATAGAGGAGGGGGAGGAGAAAGGTTGTGGGGTCCTGGGTGCTCTCTGAGCTGGGTGGTTTTCTTGCAGACCTTTCATGACCCAACTAGAGAACATCATCAGTGCTAGAAGGGAGTGAGATTACAGGAGGAGGAGGAGGAGGAGGAGGAGGAGGACAACTGTGGGGTCCTGGGTGCTCTCTGAGCTGGGTGGTTTTCCTTGCAGACGCTTCATGACCCAACTAGGGAACATCATCAGTGCTAGAAGGAAGAGGAGGAAGAGGAGGAGGACTGTGGGGTCCTTGGTGCTTTCTGAGCTGGGTGGTTTCCTTGCAGACGTTTCATGACCCAACTAGGGAACATCATCAGTTCTAGGAGGAGGAGGCGGAAAAGGGCTGTGGGCTCCTTGGTGCTCTGTGAGCCTGGCTGCTTTCTTGCAGACATTTTATTACCCAACTAGGTAACATCACCAGGTCTAGAAGGGAGGAGGAGGACGAGAAGGCGCCTGACCTTCCCCATTTCACTCAAGGGACCTGGGGCAAATCCCGGGGCCCAGAAAGATCATCCAGTGGGGCCCAGTTCACTTAACAACTGTCTCGCTCGGGGGCGGTCATAAGCCGAGAACTGCCTGTATGTTGGAAAGCTGACCTCGACGACGCCAGGAGTGACTTTCCTGTGTGTGTTTGTTAGGCATACTTTCGAGAGCGCCCTGGCCGTCTACAACCTGGTGGAGGAGGAGGTTCACACGCTGGTGACCAAATCCAACGGTTGCTTGGAGCACTTGGAGTTCCTCAAGAAGATCCGGGAACTTGAGGAAGAATTTAACCAGGTAAAGGACCTTTTGCCCTATAAGTCTGTCCCCCTAAAGCCAGGGGTCTCCAGCCTGGGCAATTTGACGACTTCTGGACTTCAACTCCCAGAATTCCTCAGCCAGCATGGCTGGCTGAGGAATTCTGGGAGTTGGAGTCCACATGTCGTCAAGTGACCAAGATGGACTCCCAACTTCCGGGAATTCCTCAGCAAGCATGGCTGGCTGAGGAATTCTGGGAGTTGGAGTCCACACGTCAAGTGGCCAAGGTTGCAGATCCTTGAACGTAAACGGTGCCTGGTGCGAATTAAACCCCCTTCTCTTCCTCCTTCCCGTCTTTCCATTCTTTCTTTGTGTTAAAATCACCAACGAATACCCTGTTTGTATTTGATCCTGGACAGATCAGAAACAAGGACTGGGGTGATTTGTGGCAGAGAAGAAATCGTTGTAGACTTTCTCCCAATAAATTACAATAATAGATTGTTAATAGAGGGCCTTGAACGTTAATCCCTTCCCTATTTTTTTTCTTTCCTATAGGTAATGTGTGGGACGTTTGGGCTGCAAATAAAGGGAGAAATATTTAAATTTTGCACTTGCTTTGCAAAGCTGGGGGGGGGACATTATTGGTGCAATAAATTTATCTGTGTTCATCTAGGAGAGATAATATGTAGGGGTTTTTTGGGGGGGGGGTGTTTGTCGTTTTTAATTCTAATCTTTAATTTCATTTAATTTTTTTTAATGTTCTGGTTTGGTTTTGTGTGTGTTTTTTTTTTTTTGGATTTTGGATTTTCTGAATAAAATAAATTAACATTCAAAAAAGGAAGCACCCACAAATTAGGTGTATATCTATCTATCATCTCTCTCTCTCTCTCTCTCTCTCTCTCTCTCTCTCTCTCTCTCTCTCTCTCTACATCTATCTATATCTATCATCTATCTATTTATCTCTATCTATCTCTATCTCTATTTATCTCTATCATCTATCTACATCTATCTATCTATCTATCTATCTATCTATCTATCTATCTATCTATCTATCTATCTATCTATCTCTATTATAAGAGCAAACAAACACAAACACCAGAAAAATATAAAACTAGAAATATTTATTCTAATGCCAAGCTTTCATCGGCCAATTGCCGACATCATCAGGGCTTAAAACTAGTCAATGGGAGTTTCCTTTATAGTGCTAGTCAATTTGTGCCCACGGCTCCTGGACATCGTCATCGGTCCTACTTGATCCTACTTGATTGGGCTGCGTGTGGATTATGTTCTTGATGTTAATTGATGTTAACGCTCCGTTATTTGTTCTACTTCCTCCACTCTCCTTGTTTGTGCGTATGTTGTTATCTATCTCCTTGCTACAGGCTCGTAAGTTCAGCATATCCCTTCGCCCCCTTTTTTGGACGCTCGTTTCCTCCATGTCGTCCCAGTTATTCCTTCTCGCCCCATTGGGGCGTGCGCTGGCTTGGCATTAGAATAAATATTTCTAGTTTTATATTTTTCCTGGTGTTCGTGTTTGTTTGCTCTTATAATATGACTATACCCAGGATTCGTATTTTTAACAAAATTAATAACAATCTACATCTATCTATCTATCTTATCTATCTATCTATCTATCTATCTATCTATCTATCTATCTATCTATATCTTATCTATCTATCTATCTATCTATCTATATCTATCATCTATCTATTTATCTCTCTGTCTCTATTTTTCTATCTATCTATCTATCTATCTATCTATCTATCTATCTATCTATCTATCTATCTATCTATCATTTTCTGTTGCTTCTTCCCACAGGTCAGTTTGTGGATTGAGGAAGAAGGAGAAGCCGAGCTGAGCCTGGTGGGACTGGCGGAGGGCAGCCTGGAGAACACGGAGGACTCCTACCGGCGGTTTAAGGGCTTCTTCAAAGAAGCCACGGTAAGCTAGGATGGATGGAATAGAGCTGGAAGGGACCTTGGAGGTCTTCTAGTCCAGCCCTCTGCTCTCGCTGGAGACCCAATACCATTTCAGACAAATGGCTGTCCAGTCTCTTCTTAAAAACTTCCAGGGATGGAGCACCCATAACTTCTGGAGGCAACTTCTGCACCACTGGTTAATTGTCCTCACTGTTTGTTAGGAAGTTTCTCTTTAGTTCCAGGTTGCTCCTCTCCTTGAGTAGAGTGGAGTGGAATGGAATATGGAATGAAGACTAGACTAAACTAGACTAGACTAGACTAGACTAGAATAGAATAGAATAGAATAGAATAGAATAGAATAGAATAGGAAATAACAGATTCTAGAATAGAATAGAATAGAATAGAATAGAAATAACAGATTATAGAATAGAATAGATTGTAGAGTAGAATAGAATAGAATAGAATAGAAATAACAGATTGGAGAATAGAACAGAACAGAATAGAATAGAAGCTGGAAGGGACTTTGGAGGTCTTCTATTCCAGCCCCCTGCTCAAGCAGAAGACTCTGGCTCAGGAATTCTGGGACTTGAAGTCCACGAGTCATGAGGGGGCCATAGTTCCCCCATGCTGGCTCAGGAATTCTGGGAGTTGAAGTCCAGGAGTCTTCAAGTTGCTAAATTTGGATACCCCTGCCTTATACCAAATGATTATCCAATCACGTGATCCACTTTTGTGACCTTCAGCAAAGTAAACGGGGCAAGTTGTATTCACTTGACAACAAGTGATTTGCTTAACAATCTTGGCAAGAAAGTTGTAAAACGGGGAGGACTCACTTGAAAACCACCTTGCCTGCAAGATCACAAAGTCAAGGACGACCTATATCTTAATTTCATTTTTTAACCTGGATTTTTCTTTTTCCATTTTTCATTTCCGTAACGTATTCTTCTGAAGCGTTTTTTGCCCCCGGCCTTAATTTCCCACTTTTCTTTGACTAACCGGATAGTTTGTTCTGAAAGTCACTTTTTAATTTGAGAAATATATATTCCTTCGCTGATCTAAATTCTTCCTGAAGTGCCTCAAACATGCCTAGAAATCTTCATTTTTTCTTCTAATCTCTCTATACTTGATTCTAATAATTCACAGTCCTCTTCACAATCAGCACCTGGACATGTCCTGATTAATTGGGTTGCGTTTCTCCAAGTCTGGAGTCAACGTGACGTTCAAATGGTCCATCAAGCAATGTCCAGGTGTAGGATCTCCATTTAATAATTTCTTCCACCCACCCCCCCACACACACATTCACAATCCCAAAGTCACCAAGAAAAGTCTCAAACATCTGCAAGAGAGTAGAATAGAATAGAATAGAATAGAATAGAATAGAATAGAATAGAATAGAATAGAATAGAATATGGAATGGAATAGAATAGAATAGAATAGAATAGAATAGAATAGAATAGAATAGAATAGAATAGAATAGAATAGAATAGAATAGAATATGGAATGGAATGGAGTAGGGTAGGATAGGATAGGATAGGATAGAATAGAATAGAATAGAATAGAATAGAATAGAATAGAATATGGAATAGAATAGAATAGAATAGAATAGAATAGAATAGAATAGAATAGAATAGAATAGAATATGGAATGGAATGGAATGGAATGGAATAGGGTAGGATAGGATAGGATAGGATAGAGTAGAATAGAATAGAATGGAATGGAATGGAATAGAGCTGGAAGGGACCTTGGAGGTCTTCTAGTCCAGCCCCCTGCTCAAGCAGGACAACCTATACCATCTCAGACAGGTGACTGTCCAGCCTCTTCTTAAAAACCTCCAGGGATGGAGCCCCCATGATTTCTGGTGGCAATTGTCCTCACTTTAATGTAGGAGAATCTGGTATACTGAAGCAAAGACCAATAGCTCAGCACTGTTTCTCTGTGAGATCCTGGGAACCGCTTCTGGCATCACTTTGAATCAACACTCCCTCTGCAAGGATCTCCTGGGGTCCTCTGAATATGGGTGTCATATTCATAGATCATATTCATGGATCACAGGTCTCTTTGGTCACTGGCTATAATAAAATGAAGTTAACAGAAAAACAGAGCTGGAAGGGACCTGGGAGGTCATCTAGTCCAACCCCCTGCTCAGGCAGGAGACCCAGTACTATTTCAGACGAGTGGCTGTCCAGTCTCTTCCTAAAAACCTCCAGTGATGGAACACCCACAACTTCCTGGAGGAGTGAGAAACTGTTCTCAGTTTCAGGAAATTTCTCCTTAGTTCCAGATTGTTTCTCTCCTTGATGAGTTTCCATCCGTTGCTTCTTGTCCGGCCTTCAGGCGCTTTGGAGAATAGCTTGACTCCCTCTTCTTTGGGGCAGCCCCTCAAATATTGGAGCACTGCTATCATGTCACCTCCTGGTCTTTCATTGGACTAGCCCAGGGGTAGGCAACCTCGGCTCTTTTATGATTGGTGGACTTCAACTCCCAGAATTCCTGAGCCAGCCATGCTGAGGGGAAAGGGAGAGGTTTCCAAGCTGAGCCAGGCTGGCTCAGGAATTCTGGGAGTTGAAGTCCACGAGTCATGAGGGGGCCATAGTTCCCCCATGCTGGCTCAGGAATTCTGGGAGTGGAAGTCCACGAATCATAAAAGAGCCAAGGTTGCCTACCCCTGGACTCGACAGACCCAATTTCTGCAGCCATTCTTCATAGGTTTCAGCCTCCAGCCCCCCCAAATCATCTTTGTTGCAATGGCTAACACTGAGTGGCCTCCTTTCTCCCACAGGTTCACTACAACCGAGGCCTCTCTTTATCCAAGGAAGCTGCCAAGATCCAGGGCTTCGGGTTTCCTGAGATGGCCTCCTTTGAAGCAACCAAGGGCGCCTTCCAAGCTCGCCTGACCATGTTCTACATGGACATGGAGATGAAAGGGGCAGAGCTGGAAGCATTCCTGGACCTCTACAGGTTCTGTGAGAAGGTGAGCTTAGAAAAGGCCTCCCTAAAGTGGAAGGGGAAGAGATGGAATGACTAGGGAGCTCCACGGATCTGGAGGAATCGTCCACGAAGTTGTCTCTGGAGATCATCCAGGTCACGGTTGCCCCAGAGGTGCTTTGTCCACTAGGCAAGTTGACTTTCATGGTTCTTTCTCCGGAAATGTTTGGCTTCTTATCCAAGAAGAACGGAACTGAAGGAGCTTCTTGGATGAGAAGCGAAACATCTCCCAAGGAAAAGCAAGGAAGTCCTTGGAAAAAGCACCTTTGGGTCAATGAAGTTGCACTGGCAGAAACAGCTGCCGGAACAATTACTTAAGCACACTTTGTTGTTGTTGTTAGTTGCGAAGCCGTGTCCGACCCATCGCAACCCCATGGACCATGTTCCTCCAGGCCTCCCTGTCCTCTACCATCTTCTGGAGTCCATTGAAGGTCACGCCTCCTGCTTCAGGGACTCCATCCAGCCCCCTCCTTCTCTGTCGTCCCCTTCTTCTCTTGCCCTCCGTCTTTCCCAGCATCAGGCTCTTCTCCAGTGAGTCCTTCCTTCTCATTAGGTGGCCAAAGGACTTGAGTTTCAACTTCAGGATCCGGCCTTCTAAGGAGCAGTCGGGGTTGATCTCTTCTAGGACTGACCCGTTGGATCGCCTTGCAGTCCAGGGGACTCGCAGGAGTCTTCTCCAGCACCAGAGTTCAAAGGCCTCCGTTCTTTAGCGCTCAGCCTTTCTTATGGCCCAACTAAGCATGCTGGGGAGCAGGAAATTAAGGATTAAAGTCTCTTCACCTGCAAAGGTTGTCCACCATGGACTTTGTCTACTAGTTTCCTGGTTGAGGGCACGGTTGATATTGGCAGAAGGGATCTAGTGTCTCTTCCCACCCATGTTTAGCACCCCAACTTGATTCACAAACATGCACTGATAGGAAGAACGGCGGAGAACAGTTTTGTATGGCTAAGCAAGGGTAGGCAACCTGGGGTCTTTTATGACTGGTGGACTTCAACTTCCAGAATTCCTGAGCCAGCCATGCTGAGGGGAAAGGGAGAGGTTTCCAAGCTGAACCATGCTAGCTGAGGAATTCTGGGAGTTGAAGTCCACGAGCCATGAGGGGGCCATAGTTCCCCCATGCTGGCTCAGGAATTCTGGGAGTTGAAGTCCACCAGTCATAAAAGAGCCAAGGTTGCCTACCTCTGGGCTAAGGGAACTCGGTATGTCTAGCCCAGTGGTGGCGAACCTATGGCACGGGTGCCAGAGGCGGCACTCAGAGCCCTCTCTGTGGGCACACGCACCGTCACCCGAGTCCTGGGCCTTCAGCTGGGTTTTATAAAATCTTTTAGCTTTAGGCTTCTGCCGCCGTGTGCAAAAAAAAAAAAGGTTCAATCAATCAATCAATTTCAACTTCTCGTGGGAAAAAAAAGATCTCGCAAAGTTGGAATTGATTGATTGAACTTTTTAGTCCCACCCAGCCTGCCATTACCACCGCAGCCACAGCCACGCAATGGCCCACGCCCACCCAATGGGCCACACCCACCCAATGGGCCACACCCACCCGGCACCCAATGATGCATAAGTGGGTTTGGGGTTGCAGTTTGGGCACTCGGTCTCTAAAAGCTTCGCCATCACTGGTCTAGCCTGTAAAAGAAAAGGCATGGGGGGCAGATGAGAGCAGTGTTCCAATCCTGGAAGGCCTGTCCCAGAGGAGGTTCTCCAGAGCACTTGAACGCAGGACAAGAAGCTCCTCAGAGGAAAACCAACCGGGAAATAAGGAAGAATTTCCTGACAGTGAGAACAATTAACCGATGGAAGGGCTTCCCTCCAGAAGCTGTGGGTGCTCCATCGCTGGACGTTTTCAAGAAAAGATGATTTGTCTGGGATGCTATACGGTCTCCTGCCTTGGGCAGGGGGTTGGACTAGAAGACCTCCAAGGTCCCTTCCAGCCCTGTCCTGTCCCACTGCATCTCATCTCATCCCATCCTATCTAAATCCTCTTCTCCTCTCCTCTCTTCTTTTTCCCTCTTTTCTTTTCTCCTCTTTCTCTCTTTCCTTCTTCTCTTTTCCTCTTCTTCTCTTCTCTTTCTTATTTCTTTCCTTCTTCTCTTCTCTTTCCCTCTTCTCTTTCTCTCTTTTCTTCTCCCCTCCCTTCTCTTCTCTTCTCTCCTTTCCTCTCCTCTCTTTCCCTCTTCTCTTTCCCTCTTTTCTTCTTTTCTCCTCTTTCTCTCTTTCCTTCTTCTCTTCTCTTTTCCTCTTCTCTTTCTTATTTCTCTTTCCTTATTCTCTTCTCTTTCCCTCTTCTCTTTTTCTCCTCTCCTCCCTTCTCTTCTCCTCTCTTTCTCTCTTCTCTTTCTTCTCTTTTCCTCTTCTCTTTCTCTCTTTTCTTCTCCCCTCCCTTCTCTTCTCTTCTCTCCTTTCCTCTCCTCTCTTTCCCTCTTTTCTTTTTTCTCCTCTTTCTCTCTTTCCTTCTTCTCTTCTCTTTTCCTCTTCTCTTTTTCTCCTCTCCTCCCTTCTCTTCTCCTCTCTTTCTCTCTTCTCTTTCTTCTCTTTTCCTCTTCTCTTTCTCTCTTTTCTTCTCCCCTCCCTTCTCTTCTCTTCTCTCCTTTCCTCTCCTCTCTTTCCCTCTTTTCTTTTTTCTCCTCTTTCTCTCTTTCCTTCTTCTCTTCTCTTTTCCTCTTCTCTTTTTCTCCTCTCCTCCCTTCTCTTCTCTACTCTTCTCCTCTCTTTCTCTCTTCTCTTTCTTCTCTTTTCCTCTTCTCTTTCTCTCTTTTCTTCTCCCCTCCCTTCTCTTCTCTTCTCTCCTTTCCTCTCCTCTCTTTCCCTCTTCTCTTTCCCTCTTTTCTTCTTTTCTCCTCTTTCTCTCTTTCCTTATTCTCTTCTCTTTCCCTCTTCTCTTTTTTTCCTCTCCTCCCTTCTCTTCTCTACTCTTCTCCTCTCTTTCTCTCTTCTCTTTCTTCTCTTTTCCTCTTCTCTTTCTCTCTTTTCTTCTCCCCTCCCTTCTCTCCTCTCCCCTCCCCTCCCCTCCCTTCCATACATGGCTGGTTCGGAAATTCTGGGAGTTGAAGTCCACGAGTCTTAAAGTTCCCAAGGTTGGATACCCTCCAGCATCCCAGTCAAATGGCCGTCCAGTCTCTCCTTGAAGACCTCCAGTGACGGAGCACCCACATGTTCTGAAGGCATGTCGTTCCACTGGTTGACTGTTCTCACTGTGAGGAAATTTCTCCTAAGTTCTGGGTTGCTTAGACAAATAACGCCTGAATCCAACGAAGAAGAAGAAGAAGAAAAATAACACATCGTTCTCACTGATTGAAATCTTTAATGGTGTCAGTAACAAATGTTGACCTCTCTCTTTTTAAGGTCACGGAGTTTCACCTAGACTGCAAGCAACATCTGGCCCAGTGGCAGGCCAGGGAGAAGGAACCCAACCTCGTGGAGGTCCAGCAGGACACCGAAGATGCTCTCCGGCGAATGTCCCAGGACTTTTCAGAAGAGAAGTTCCAGCAGATGAAGCTCCAGGCATCCAGCATGCACAGTGAAAAAGGTCACTTGATTTGGAGCGAAGCCTTGGAACGAAGCAAAGAAGCCAAGGAAATTCTGGAGGGCCTTCTGACCAGGTTCCAGGAGACCAAGGGAATCACCGCAGGAGACCGGGTGGACGAGAGAGGCCCTTCAGCTCCTGACTCATCTTTGCCCATCCCAGCTGATGCCCTCAACGCCGGTGAGATATTGGAGATTCTGGAGCCATTCTCCAAAGAAACTACGGACAGAATCGACGGTGTTGACCCTTCCTCTCCAAAGAAGTCCTCGTGCATCAGCTCGGACACCGGGATGGGAGGCAACAAGAAATCTTCTCCAGGTGCCATCTTGGAATCTGGTGGGCCTGCCCACAAACATCTGGGCGAGGAAGGAAGGCTTCAAAGGAACTCCTCGGGTTCTCCTCCATTGCGTCGTTCTTCTGCCTCTTCTCCTAAGGCACAGCCAAGGCCAGGAACCGGTGAGACTCTGCCACCGGCCGGCCAGCCTGGTGCTCCTCTGCTGGTGAGAGGTCCACGTCCCCAGAAGCGAGAGAGAGCCCAGTACTTCCAGCTCTCCAGACACGGGAGTTTTTCTTCAGAAGATGCCGATTCTCAGAACTCGTCTGAAGGTGCCCTGGACTCCGGTAGCACCTGGTCCATGGAACTGCAGGGCCCCAAAGCAGGTGGGGCTCAGGAAAAGGGGATCCTCTACCTGGAGAACCACAGTCCAAGCAGTGGCTCAGGTCCGGGGAAAGCAGAGACTTGAGGTGCTGAGGTTCTGGATTATCTCTGGGCCGTCTTCTGGCCAACCGATCTGGTGCTGAGAACATTCCTGGTCTTTTGGGTGCTCCAGGATCCCAGCTGTATTTTTGCCCACAGGTCATTCTGTTTCTTCACACTGAGAGGGCAAGCCACTAGTACACCTAGGATGGATGATGTTACCTTGTCAGGTAATCCAACGTCTGCAAGAAAACAAGCAAGCTCAGAAAGCACCAAGGACCCTACAGTCCTCCTCCTCCACCTCCTCTCCACAACCCCTCCTCCCTTCTAGCGCTGGTGATGTTCCCTAGGTGGGTCAGGAAACATCTGCAAGAAAACCACCAAGTTCAGAAAGCACCAAGGACCCCACAGTCTTCCTTCTCCCCCTATCTCTCACCCTTCTCTTCCCCCTCCCCTCCTCCTCCCCCTCCCTCCTCTTCTTCTTCTTCCTCCTCCTCCTCCTCTCTGCAATTCCCTTCTAGCACTGGCGATGTTCCCTAGTTGGGTCAGGAAACATCTGCAAGAAAATCACCAACTTCAGAGACCACCAAGGACCCCACAGTCCTCTTCCTCCTCTCTACAAACTCCACTCCCTTCTAGCACTGATGATGTTGCCTAGTTGGGTCAGGAAATGTCTGCAAGGAAACCATCAAGTTCAAAGAGCACCAAGGACCCCATAGTCTTCCTCCTCTCCTCCTCCTCTCCACCCCTTCCCTTCTAGCACTGGTGATGTTCCCTAGTTGGGTCAGGAAACATCAGCAAGAAAGCAACCAGAGTGCACCAAGGACCCACAGTCGTCTTCCTCCTCCTCCTCCTCCTCCTCTTCCTCCAGGGCTGGATCGTTGTTCATTCTTACAGACTTCAAGCCAAAGTTTCTTAACGTTTAAAAAAAGTCGTATTGCTTTTGCTCCTCATCCAAGAAACCCCTTCAGTTCTTGAGAAGCAAAACGTCTTCGGAGAAGATCAAGGAAGTCCATTTACCTCTTGTAAAGGCGCCTTTTGGGCCAACAAGAATCTGGATGATAGAACCTCCTTAGACCTTTTCCAGAGTGGTTTCAAGCAAAGTCCCAGTGGCACCTGTGGAAACGTTTGCAAGAATCTGGAGGAAAGAAACGCACAGCTGTGAAACTCGCCGGGTGTCTTCAGGTCACTTTCAGAGTGGCCTACCTCACAGGGGGGGACGAAGCGTAGAAACAAGTGGGAGAATCTCACCAATTTGGCGTCCTTTGCCCTCCTCGGAAAAAATGCAGAATGAAATGCAAAAAGAGGATTTTTTTTGCGGGTGGGGGGCCGACGTGGAAATCCCTAGGAGAAAAGAACACGTGTTTATAATCTCAATTCTTTTTTATATCGTCGGTTTTTTAACCCAAAAAGTAAAAAAAAAAAAAAAAAAGCTCTACTTGGTGTTTGCCCGCCAGTTATTCTGGGGTTTTTTTTGCCAGCGTCTCGTGTCTGCCCTGTGTCTTCTTAAGAATTGCCGTTGTGCTTGTGGCTTGCGTTGCTCCATTCTCCGATCGAAAATGGGGAAGTGACCTCTACGACTGAACATTAGAAGAACAGGGTGGGAAGGGAACTGGGGGGTCTTGCTCAAGCCCAGCCCCCTGCTCAGGCAGGATACTCTGCATCAGGGGTCCCCAAGCTGTGGGCCGTGGTGACTGCGCCGTGAGCCGGCCACGGAAGTGGTGAGTGAGCGCATGCATGCTCCATTTGCGTGAGTGCCGCACACATGTGCCTGCCACTCAACGCAAATAGAGCTGTGCATGTGTGTGTGTGTGCGTGCTTGCCGGCCTCTCAGGTGGAACCATTCCCTCCCCCCCCCCCCGGTCCAAAAAGCCAAAAAGGTTGGGGAACACTGCTGTATACCTCCAGTGATGGAGCACCTAACACAGGGATCTTCCAATTCGGCCTTTTATGACTCGTGGACTTTTGGCTGAGGAATTCTGGGAATTGAAGTCCACGAGTCATAAAAGGGCCAGGTTTGAAGACCCCTGGTTTAAATATTTAAATATTTTTTTCCTCATGGTCACATGATCAAAATTCAGGCATTTGGGCAGGGGTAGGCAACCTTGGCGCTTTTGTGACTCGTGGACTTCAACTCCCAGAATTCCTGAGCCAGCATGGGGGAACCTTGGCCCCTTTATGATTGGTGGACTTCATCTCGCAGCCTGGCTCAGCTTGGAAACCTCTCCCTTTCCCCTCAGCATGGCTGGCTGAGGAATTCTGGGAGTTGAAGTCCACCAGTCATAAAAGGGCCAAGTTTGAAGAGCCCTGCTCTACCCCTTCAGTTCCCTGGCAGAACGTGGTGGAGGTCTGGCTGCGCCTGATATGAGCCCCCAAAGGACCACAGCAGTCTTGTGGGTTGCCCATCATGGGGGGATTATGGAAAATGGCCACCTGGGGTTGGAGGGAGAAGGGGGCTTGAGCATTTACAACATGGCTGCCGGGCAAAGAGGACGACTCAGTCAATTTGCAAAACCACGAAGTCAAGAGAGAGAATCAAGGAGAGAAGCAACCTAGAACTAAGGAGAAACTTCCTGACAGTTAGAACAACTAATCAGAGGAACAACCTGCCTCCAGAAGTGGTGAATGCTCCAACACTGGAGGTTTTAAAGAGACTGGACATTTGTCTGGAATGGTGTAGAGCAGGGGTAGGCAACCTCAGCTCTTTTATGACTCTTGGACTTCAACTCCCAGAATTCCTGAGCCAGCATGGGGGAACTATGGCCCCCTCATGACTCGTGGACTTCAACTCCCAGAATTCCTGAGCCAGCATGGGGGAACTGTGGCCCCCTCATGACTGGTGGACTTCAACTCCCAGAATTCCCGAGCCAGCATGGCTCAGCTTGGAAACCTCTCCCTTTCCCCTCAGCATGGCTGGCTGAGGAATTCTGGGAGTTGAAGTCCACCAGTCATAAAAGGGCCAAGTTTGAAGAGCCCTGACCTAACAAGTGGAGAAACGGTGTTTAGAATGTAAATGAATTTTCCTTCCTCCCTCCCTTCTTTTTTCTTTCTCCTCTATCCCTCTTTTCTCCTTTCCTTATAACATAGAATAACAGGAGTTAGAAGGGACCTTGGAGGTCTTCTAGTCTTCTAGTTCTCCCGCTCAAGCAGGAGAACCTGACCTACACCATTTCAGCCAAATGGCTGTCTAGTCTCATAATAATGATGAGACTAGTCCAACCCCTTCTCAGGCAGGAAACCCTATACCATTTCAGACAAATGGCTGTCCAGTCTCTTCTTAAAAGCCTCCAGTGTTGGAGCATTCACCGCTTCTGGAGGCAACTTCTGTTCTACTGGTTAATTGTCCTCACTGTTAGGAAGTTTCTCCTTAGTTCCAGATTGTTTCTCTCCTTGATTCCTTTCCATCATTTTTTCTTATCCAGACTTCAGGTGCTTTGGAGAATAGGTGGACCCTCTTCTCTTGGTGGCAGCCCCTCAAACATTGGAAGGCTGCTATCCTGTCCCCCCTCGTCCTTCTCTTCATTAAACTGGACCTACCCAATTCCAGCAACCGTTCCTTATATGTTTTAGACTCCAGTTCCCTGATCATCCTTGTTGCTCTTCTCTGCACTCTTTCCAGAGTCTCAACATCTTTTTTTACATCTTGGTGACCAAAACTGGATGCCGTATTCCAAGGGTGGCCTTACCCAGGCCTTGTAAAGTGGTGTTAACACTTTACGTGATCTTGATTCTGTCCCTCTGTTGATGCAGCCTAGCACTGTGTTGGCCTTTTTGGAAGCTGCAGCACATGACTGGCTCCTATTTAAGGGATTGTCCACTAGGACTCCGAGATCCCTCCCACAGTTGCTACTATTGAGCCAGGTTTCGCCGAGTTTGGTACTTGCATCTTTAGTTCTTCTTGCCTAAATGTAAAACCTGACTTTTATCTACGTTGAATTTCATTTTGTTAGACAGTGTTGAAGTCTGTCAAGATCTATCTGGATCTTGAGCTTATCTTGTTGAATTCCGGGAGTTGCAGTCCACCTCTCTTAAAAGTTGCCAAGGTTGAGAAGGAGGGCCAAATGATGGAGACCTCAGCATGTGTGAAATGACAAATTCTATTCCAAAGAGACTTTGCCCCCTCCTCCTCCTCCTCCTCCTCCTCCTTCTCCTCCTCCTCCATCAGTGCCATATCTCCCTTCTGCAGCCAGACAGATCTGTCTCCATCTCAGCGGTTTCGGCAGATAATGGAAACCGTGATGGATGCTAATGGCCAGATCTTTTGTTTCCTTGGCGGGATGAGCAAAATTAATTATCCTGGCCTTTGAATGGAGACTTCAAGGAGAGGGTGGCAGAGAAGAAGCCAACAATGGATGAAAGGCCTCCTTCCAACTTCCTTTACCAAAGGGAGCTAGTTGAGGTTTTGGGGAAGGGGCCTGCGTTTCCCCAGCCCCCCCCCTCCCTGTGTCTCCAGCGCCTTTGTGACTGATGGGCAATCAGTGGCTTCCAAGCAATTTTTCACCAAAGGATCATCCCACCCGCCCAGTCAGATTTTATTTTTTAAAAAAATTACTTGATTGGGGACTCATTATTTCTCACCCAACTGTTTACTTTGTAGTTACTATTCACAGAGTCAAAGAGTCCTTATTGCTTCTACTCAATCCAGCTGTCCCTGGAAGGGCTGTAGCTTCTTGAACCTTGTCAGAAGGGTGGAAAATTAGGGCGGATTTTCCCCATCGTGGTTTAGGACCTTAGAGAAGGGAGGGGGGGATAATGAGGAAAGGCAAGACCAGCAATGTTGTGGTCCAGACTGGGAAAATAAGAGGGTAGGGGAACATGTAAATGGAGTGGGCCGAGGGGCCCTGGGTGGTCTGTGAGCTGTGGTGTTTTCCTGCAGATGTTTCATGATAGCTCGGATGATGTTACCTAGTTGGGTCATGAAACATCTGCAAGAAAAAAAACCAAGCTCAGAGAGCACCAAGGACCCCACAGTTCTCTTCCTCCTCTCTGCAAACCCCACTTCCTTTTAGCACTGGTAATAGGTAGGTAGGTAGGTAGGTAGGTAGGTAGGTAGGTAGGTAGATAGATAGATAGATAGATAGATAGATAGATAGACAGATGAGATAGAGATAGATGATAGATGATATAGATAGATAGATGGATAGATGGATAGATAGATAGATAGATAACCTTTATTGTCATTTTTTACATAGATAGATAGATAGATAACCTTTATTGTCATTTTTACATAGATAGATAGATAGATAGATAGATAGATAGACAGATGAGATAGAGATAGATATAGATGATAGATAGATAGATAACCTTTATTGTCATTTTTACATAGATAGATAGACAGACAGACAGACAGACAGACAGACAGATAGATAGATAGATAGATAGATAGATAGACAGATGAGATAGAGATAGATATAGATGATAGATGATATAGATAGATAGATAGATAGATAGATAGATAGATAGATAGACAGATGAGATAGAGATAGATATAGATGATAGATGATATAGATAGATAGATAGATAGATAGATAGATAGATAGATAGATAGATAGATAGATAGATAGATAGATAGATAGATAGATAACCTTTATTGTCATTTTTTACCGTGGGCACAATGGCACACATTAAAAATGAAATTTAATTGCTCTCAAAGTGTACACATGTGCATAACACATTTAAACATACTATATACAACATATGTATAGACCTACATCCTTACATATAAGTAATATATAATGATCCCTAGTTGGATAATGAAACAAAAACAACCAAGCTCGGAGAGCAACAAGGACCCCACAGTCTTCCTCCTCCTCCTCCTCCTCTCTGCAAACCCCACTCCCTTCTAGCACTGGTGATGTTCCCTAGTTGAGTAATGAAAGATCTGCAAGAGAACAGACAAGCTCAAAGAGCACCAAAGACCCCACAGTCCTCCTCCTCCTCCTCCTCCCTACAAACTCCCCTCCCTTCCAGCACTGATGACGTTCCCTAGTTGGGTCATGAAACGTCTGCAAGAAAACAACCAAGCTCAGAGAGCAACAAGGACCCCACAGTCCTCCTCCTCCTCTCCACAACCCCCCCTCCCTTCTAGCACTGGTGATGTTACCCAGTTGGATCATGAAATCTCTCCCAGAAAACATCTCAGCTCTGAGACCACCAAGGACCCCACAGTTCAACCCTGAGCCACAAATATTCTCTTCTACTACCTGGCTTCCCCCCCAGCCTCCCCCAGCCTGGTGCCCTCCCGATCACTCCCAGAGTCCTGGGTGCAAGCTCATCAGGAAAGCCCCCCCAATCCCTCTCAGGCAGCTTCAGGATACTCCGTTGGGGCAAACATGCGGACTGCTTTCAGAATATAATATCTCGGTTAAAGCTTCACCTCCAAGTTTAATCAAAACTTTAGATCTTGCGCAGGCAGTATCCAAAAAACTGAAGCCAGTAGCTACAGTTCTGCGATCGATCCCTCCCCCCACCAAAAAAGTCTTGTGCTTTGAACAAAAGGATGTTGCTGCTATCTTTTTTGAGACCCTCTTTAATTAATTAATTAATTAATTAATTAATTAATAATAATAATAAAAAAAAAAACTGGTGGGATCATAAAATAGAGAAAGTCATAAAAAATGATAAGATTAAACTGCTCTGGGACTTCAGAATTCAAACAGACAAGCATCTGCAACACAACACCCCAGACTTAACAATTGTCGATAAGAAAGACAAAAAAGCCTGGATAGTGGACGTGGCAGTGCCTGGAGACAGTAGAATAGAGAGAAAGAACTGGAGAAGATAACAAAATACAAAGACCTCCAAATAGAAATAGAAAGACTGTGGCAAAAGCAAGCAAGGGTAGTACCAATAGTCATAGGTGCCTTGGGTGCAATCCCCAAAAAACTGGAGCACCACTTGAACACCATTGGCATTGACAAATTCGCTATTAGTCAATTGCAAAAGGCGGCCTTACTAGGAACTGCTTCCATCCTGCGACGATACCTGTAATACCATCAAACATCCACATCTGCCTATCCCAGGTCCTGGGTAAGGACTCGATAGGTAGACAAAATGCCAAATCCAGTCTGAACATCTGGCTGACTGTGCGATGATCCATAATAATAATAATAATAATAATAATAATAATAATAATAATAATAATAATAATAATAATAATAAAGTTGGAAGGGACCTTGGAGGTCATCTAGTCCAACACCCTGCTCAGGCAGGAAACCCTATACCATTTCAGACAAAGCGTTGTCTAATCTCTTCTTAAGAACTTCCAGTGTTGGAGCATTCACTGCTTCTGGAGGCAGGTTGTTCCACTGGCTAATTGTCCTCACTGTCAGGAAGTTTCTCCTTAGTTCCAGGTTGCTTCTCTCCTTGGTTAGTTTCTATCCGTTGCTCCTTGTCCTGCCTTCAGGCGCCTATAAAATAGCTTGATTGATAGATTGATAGATTGATAGAAGCTTTAGAGCAGTGGTTCTCAACTTGTGGGTCGGGACCCCATTTGGGGTCGAACGACCATTTTACAGGGGTCACCAAACAAGGCTGACCGCCATTTTTTCCCCCTTTTTTGGCCATGCCCCTGGCACCCGGTGATATATAAGTGGTTGGGGGTCACCACAACATGGGGAACTGTATTATGGGGTCACGGCATTAGAAAGGTTGAGAACCACTGCTTTAGAGGGAGGGTCCGACTAGCGAATCCAACGGAGTCAGCAGCCTCGAGACATCCCAATCTCTTAATGCAAAACTTTATTGAGTACATCGTTTCGGCACAGGTGAAAGCAAAACCAGCTCTGGTTAAATTCCCCGGCAAACAAATATAACTATAATATGGAAACCTCCCTCCCCCAATTAGTGCAGGTCACATTGTCCAGTTGAGTGTCACCATGTTGTTATGAGGAAGTGTCTCTGTGGTTAGCAGCCACCTGCGGAAGTGACCTTGGTCCCCAGGGACTGGTTTCTTGATTTCTGGAGCCTGAATTCCATCTCCCTCTTCCTTCCCTCCCAGTTTGTTGGCAAACTGGGAAACAAAACAAGTAGAACCACTCCCCAAATGAACTCAATGTAATTCTAGCCAAGCTTAACCTGTTCTGCAAAGGCTTGTACCAACCCTTTGGGTGGTTGTGGAATGTAAGCAGAGAAACAGCAGAAATAACACAAGCAGATCTACATATAAAAAGCTAGTAAGGACTGTTCTCTCTCTCTCTCTCTCTCTCTCTCTCTCTCTCTCTCCTCTCTCTCTCTCTCCCTCTCCCTTTCCCTCTCCCTCTCTCTTTTTTTCTCTTACACTTTTTTCCCTCTCATTCTCTCTCCTCACTCTTTTTCTTTCTCTTTCTCTCTCCCTCCCCCCTCTGTCTTTTTTCTTTCTCTTTTCTCTTTCTCTCTGCTTTACTCTCTCTCTTTCTTTCTCTTTCTGTTTCACTCTTTTACTTTCTTTTCTCTCTTTCACTCTTTCTTTTTCTTTTTCTCTTTTTTCTCTCTGTTTTACTCTGTCTCTCTTTCTTTCTTTCTCCTTCTGTTTCACTCTTTCTTTTACTTTCTCTTTTCTCTTTCTTTCACTCTTTCTCTCTCTTTCTCTTCTTTCTCTCTCTTTCACACTTTTCTTTCTCTCATTCTCTCTCCCTCCCCCTCTCTCTTTCACTCTCTCTTTCTTTCTTTCTCTCTTTCTCTCCCTCCCCCCTCTCTTTCTGTCTTTTTTCTTTCTCTTTTCTTTCTCTTCTCTTTCTGTTTTATTTTTTCTCTCTCTTTTTCTTTCTCTTTCTGTTTCACTCTTTCTTTTACTTTCTCTTTCTCTCTCTTTTTATCTCTCTTTCTTTCACTCTCTCTCTCTCTCTCTCTCTCTCTCTCTCTCGCTCTCGCTCACGCGCGCGCGCACACACACACACACACACACACACACACACACACACACAAAGATGCACCAGCAAGAAAGCCTTGATTTTCCTTGGCTGAGCTGAGCTTGGTGAAAAGCACCTTGGCTTAAAAAAGGGGGGACTGCTTGCAAGCTGAGCCAGTCCCAGTTTGCTGCAACGGAGCAGTTCTCTGGGACTTCCTGTTTCTTCTAGCAGACTTCAACTGCCTGGCTGAGGAATTCTGGGAGTTGAAGTCCACAAGTCATAAAAGGGCCACGTTTGAAGAGCCCTGCTCTAGCCTGTCAGCTCAGACCCTCCTCTGCCTCCCACAGACTCCCCTCCTTTTCCCAAAAGGAGGATCAAAGCCTTGATGGAGAGTAACTTTCCAAGTGGGAAAGTCCTAGTGGACGATCACTTGACCTTGAGCCAGCCGTGTGCAGCAGCAACAGCCCAAAAAGCGAATACAATCCTGGGTTGCATAAACAGAGACATAGAATCAAGATCATGCAAAGTATTAGTACCGCTTTATAAAGCCTTGATAAGACCCCACTTGAAATATGGCATCCACTTTTGGTCACCACAATGTAAAAAAGATGTTGAGACTCTACAACAGTGTTTCTCAACCTTGACAATTTTAAGACATGTGGACTTCAACTTCTGGGAGTTGCAGTCCACATGCCTTAAAATTGTCAAGGTTGAGAAACACTGCTCTGCAAAGAGTACAGAGAAGAGCAACAAAGATGATTAGGGGAATGGAGGCTAAGACATGTAAGGAACGGTTGCTGGAATTGGGTATGTCTAGTTTAACGAAGAGAAGGACAAGGGGGGACAGGATAGCAGTATTCCAATATTTGAGGGGCTGCCCCAAAGAAGAGGGAGTCAAGCTATTCTCCAAAGTGCCTGAAGGCAGGACAAGAAGCAACAGATGGAAACTCATCAAAGAGAGAAGCAACCTGGAACTAAGGAGAAACTTCCTGACAGGGAGAACAATTAACCAATGGAATGGCTTCCTCCAGAAGTTGTGGGTACACTGGAGGCTTTCAAGAAGAGCCTGGACAGCCACTTGTCTGAAATGGTATAGGGTCTCCAAATGGTTGAGCAGGGGGTTGGACTAGAAGACCTCCAGGGCCCCTTCCAAAAGTATTATTCTCTGTTCTATGATGCGAGGACGTGGCATCCAGGCTGGAGGTTTTCATCACCGGAGGTTTTCGAGAAGAGACTGGACAGCCACTTGTCTGAAACAGTACAAGAGCTCCTGCTTGAGCAGGGGGCTGGACTAGAAGACCTCCAAAACCCCTCCCGTCTCCCTTCTTCTGTGTTCTACTGGCCATCTTTTACAATGCTCTGATGTTTGCTTCTTACCCAACTGTGTCACATCCAAGCCATAATCTCTGTGTGAGTCACAGGACCGCAATGTCCAAATAGCAATGTGATAGTAGTCACCCTCTGAAGAATCTCTGGGGAAAAAACCCTCACTCCAAATCAAGGCTGGTAAATGGGTCAAACCCCTTTCCGGAACGAGAGCGCAGCTTCCTGCTTCTTCACAAAGCTCACTCTTGCTTCCTCTTTCTCTAGACCAGAAGCGCCCAGCGGCAGGGTCTGCAGACACTCACCCTGGTCTGAGCAGAAGGTCTCCAAGGGTTTGGCTGTGTGTGTGAGAGAAGATGTGCAGGGTGAGCCTCCTGGCATTCTGGCTTTGCTGCGTAGTGCCTTCCTCTGAGGCCGTAAATCCGGGATTTGCAGGCAGAATCACCAGGAAAGGCTTGGATTATGGTAGGTACCCAACTGGTTTTTCCACCGCCCCCAGGAAACCCACCCCCCCTCTGCCCCACAGCCAACCATCTGACAATGAATGGGGTGCAAGGAGATTAGAGGGGTGACCCTAAAGTGACTCTCCCGTTTTGCATCATGTTGCAGCTATTTGTCTGGAAGGGTATAGGATCTCCTTCCGTGGGGAAGGGGTTGGGCTAGGAGACCTTCAAGATCTCCCTTCCACCTCTGTGTTCCAAATCCCCATGAAATCTGAGTAATAGTAATAGTAGTAAAGTTGGAAGGGACCTTGGAGGTCATCTAGTCCAACCCCCTGCTTAGGCACCATTTCGGACAAATGGCTGTCCAGTCTCTTCTTAAAAACTTCCAGTGTTGGAGCATTCACCGCTTCTGGAGGCAGGTAGTTCCAGTGGTTAATTGTTCTCACTGTCAGGAAGTTTCTCCTTAGTTCTAGGTTGCTTCTCTCCTTGATTAGTTTCCACCCGTTGCTTCTTGTCCTGCCTTCAGGGGCTTTGGAGAATAGCTTGATTCCCTCTTCTTTGGGGCAGCCCCTGAGATATTGGAACATTGCTATCATGTCCCCCCTCGTCCTTCTCTTCGTTAAAGTAGACATACCCAATTCTAGCAACCATTCCTTATATGTTTTAGCCTCCAGTCCCCTAATCGTCTTTGTTGCTCTTCTCTGTACTCTTTCTAGAGTCTCAGCATCTTTTTTACATTGTGGTGACCAAAACTGGATGCAGTATTCCAAGTGTGGCCTTCCCAAGGCATTGTAGAGTGGCATTAATACTTCACGTAATCTTGATTCTATCCCTCTGTTAATGCAGCCTAGCACTGTGTTGGCCTTTTTGGCTTGTTTTTTTTTTTTTTTTTTTAGGGAATCATTAAAAACAGGATTCCTACACACTAATCCTGACTTTTTCAGCTGGTCTGCGAGTTCGTTCTTTGAAGAAGGACTAAGCTGGGTTATTGCATGCAACGGGTGTTGCTAAACACAAATGAGCTGCAAACCAACTTGGTTTGTCTGGGGCTAAAACAGGTGTTCCTCAATCCCTTATTGCTTTGCTGGCTGAGAAATTCTGGGAATTGAAGTCCACAAGTCTTAAAGTTGCCAAGGTTGAGAACCCCTGCTTATTGGATTGGACCTGGAGGTTGAAGACCCTAGGCCAGTGGTGGCGAACCTATGGCACGCGTGCCAGAGGCGGCATTCAGAGCCCTCTCTGTGGGCACGTGTGCCGTCGCCCCAGCGCCACCTCTCCCCATGACCCCCTCCTCACCAGCAGCCCCCCCCAGAGGAGAGTCATCCCCGGGTGTGGCCTGCACACAACAGCACAGCCAAGGACATGGCAGCAGGCAGAAGGGACAAGACTCCACCCTCCCACCCCGTCGTGTGCAGATGATGCTGTGGGGCGCGGGTGGAGGGCGTGGACACCATGGCACTGCAGGGCCGCCTGAGTGATCTGCTGCAGTGGGCTGTGGAGGCAGTGGGTGGTCCTGTAGGGAGGCGGGGCAGGCGGGGGCAGGCAGGAGGGGTGGGGTGATTTTTAGGCACTCGGTCGCTAAAAGGTTCGCCATCACTGCCCTAGGCCAGAGATGGTGAACCTTTTAGAGACCGAGTGTCCAAACCACAATCCAAAACCTACTTATTTATCACAAAGTGCCAGGGCTGCATTAGCATTGTGGTGTCCTCGGGGAGGGGGGTGGATGGGGGCATGACACACTGGGTGGGCCTGGCCCACTGGGTGGACATGGCTGCAGTTGTCACGGCAGAGTGGGTGGGTATGGCTGGGGTGGGCATGGCCACCTCGATGTTGCTCATGGGGGGGGGCAGACAGGGTTGGGGGAGATCTAGGGTGTCTCTGGTGGGTGGGGCAGTGGGCAAGAGGCCCAGCATAGATAGGGGGAGGCACGCAATCCTAACTGGGACTGGGGGGCCATGGTGCCAATGAGGATCTGGCTTTCCCTGCTCGGGATGGCCTTTGGCTTGCTGGATGTGGGCGTGCTGTACCACCTCTATTTGAGGTCACTAGCTGGCTGCTTCGCCTCCTTTGTGCTGGGTGGGGCTGCTGCTCCAGGTGGTGGCAGAGGCCTAATGGACCTGCACAAGCTGCTGGCAGCGGCGGCACATGTGCCCACAGAGAGGGCTCTGAGTGCCGCCTCTGGCACGCGTGCCATAGGTTTGCCACCACTGCCCTGGGCTCAGCCATGAAGGGGGTGTCTGAAAAGCAGAGGGTCTGGGAAGTGGAATACATTCATCCATCAGATTCGTTTGTTCTTTTTTTTTATTAAAGATTTTTTATTTTCCATTTATCCAACATAATTATACAATTATACAAATTCACGTTACAAAATAAGATAAATTCATGACCATAACCATAACCATAGGTGCCGCTTACTCATTCCCCCAAGCTGCCTCTACCCTCTCTAATACCTTCCTTACTTCCCTCCTCTTTCTCTCCTCCCCTCACTACTCTCTTCCCCTCCCCTTCTCCTCTTACCATCCTACTTCCTCCCTTCACCTTCCTCCCCTCTCATCCCTCTACAAGAATGCAGTGTAGGGGAAGTGCCCAAGCAGCACCTCTCCATAAATTACCATATCTTCATTATCCTATTCTACCTATTTACCCACCCACCCACTCACCCACCCACCCTCAACCCCCCTCACTTCCCAGAGCAGAGTACAGGGTTATTGATAACAAAATGAACAATATACAATAAAAAAGAAAAAAGAAAAGAGAGAAAAAAAAGCATACTTAGCCCTTAATTCCCCTTAAATTACATCATCATCTTATAAAACATTTACTATAAAATTTACTCATAAAATAAATGAAACTTTATAGTCCCATACTTTTTCTGAATATAATCTATCCATCTTCTCCATACAATAATATATCTTTCTTGTGTATGATCCTTTAAATAAGCAGATAGTTTTGCCATTTCTGCAAAATGAGAAACTTTAAATATCCATTCTTCTAAAGTAGGCAACGAATCTTTCTTCCAATATGAACCTACTAATAGCCTTGCTGCAGTTAATAAATTCAACATTAAAATAGTTTCTTTATCATCTAAATCCACAAAAATACCCAATAAGAATAATTGAGGAGTAAACTTTATGATTTGTTTGTTCTTGATAAAACCTGTACCTTGTGTAATCGTCTTGCCAATTTAATTTTTTGATGGTGCTTCTCAACCTCAGCAACTTTCAGAGGATGCTGAAAGAGCCGAGGTGGCGCAGCAGTTAGAGTGCAGTACTGCAGGCCACTTTAGCTGTGTTCAGCAGGTCAGCGGTTCAAATCTCACCGGCTCAAGGTTGACTCAGCCTTCCATCCTTCTGGGGTAGGTAAAATGAGGACCCAGATTGTTGGGGGCAATGTAAATATATATATATACATTGCTTACTGGTGTACACCACTTAGAGAGTGCTTGCACTTAAAACGGTATATAAGTCTCATAAATAAATAAATAAATAAATGCTCTTCAACTCCCAGAATTCCCCAGTCAGCAGAGGTGGCTGGGGGATTCTGGGAGTTAAAGTCCACCTGCCCAGCTGCCGTTTTATGCTTGATTGTGCTTTGCTGCTAGGCAGTGGCAGACTGCCGTGAGCTACGGAGATGGGGATGAAGTGGGGGGAACACTTGGGGAAACGGAAGTAAATGCTGTACCTCCTCCAGATGCTGCCTCAAGGCCACCCAGCTGGAAAAATGAGGGGGCCACACACCAAACTGGGCTTGGACGGACCATTATGAAAGCATCTTTCCTGAACCTGATGGGTTACACTGGGATGGGCAACGGGAGACCATTAAGGAAGGGAAAAATAGGACTGAGGGATTTTGCTGCGCGATTCTCAGCTCTGGCTTTGCACTACTGTGATACACGGGACTTCTAATAAACCATAAGTTTCTCATGCATTGCCATGTTTAGAGGTTTAAGTTGTGGCAGGTCTGACACAACCCCTCTTAAAACAGCCAAGTGTGCAAAACACTCTTTTAGATCATTTACTTGTGACAGACTGATTGCGCGAGCCGAGTACAGTCCGGGAGGAGAGATCAAATAAGGAGGCAGTTGCTATATAATGATTGAAATCCCACTTCTTTTACCTGGCTTGCAACCGGTGTAAAAAGGGGTTATGATGTTGCTTGTAGCCAACAGAAGATCCTTTTGAATTGGGATGAATTGAGACCAAACTGGCGCACCGTTGGGCGGAGGGACACAACTCCTTCAGAGAGAGGTTCCTGGAGGAAGGGGTGACTTGAACCAGATCTTCTAAGTTCATTGAGCTGCTGGTGTCTATTAAAAAAAGACACAGGCGAATACCTGTAGCTCAGGTTTGTCATTTTCTTGCAGGTGTTTCATTACCCAACTAGGGAGCATCATCTGTGTAGAAGGGAGTAAGGGTTGAGGAGGGCAAGGAGGAGGAGGACTGTAGTTGTTTCTTGCAGATGTTTCATAACCAAGTGGGTAACATCATCAGTGTCAGAAGGAAGAGGGGTTTGCAGAGTGGAGGAAGAGGAGGAGGAGGAGGAGGATGACGACAACTGTGGGGTCCTTGGTGCTCTCTGAGCTTGATTGTTTTCTTGCAGACATTTCAGTACCAAACTAGGTAACATCATCAGAGCTAGAAGGGAATGAGGTTTGCAGAGAGGAGGAGGAGGAGGAGGAGAGTGGGGTCCTTGGTGCTTTCTGAGCTTGGTGGTTTTCCTGCAGACGTTTCATAACCCAACTAGGCAATATCATCAGTGCTAGTGAAGGAGTTCTCTCTTAGCACTGATTACGTTACCTACCTGGGTCATAAAATGTCTGTAAGAGAACCACCAAACTCAGACAGCACCCAGCGCCCGGCAAATAAGACCCATTTCTTTTTCACCTTTAAAAAAAATGTAGAGTATGAAAGCTCGAAAGGAGTTTAAAAAAAAAAGTCAGCCCACAAATTGTCCACTTGTTTCAGCGTGCCAACAGGGAGTTGCAACCTTGCAGAAGGACTTGCTTGCGATAACTCTGCCGGAATTCTCTGGCTCCTACCGAGTGAAAGTGATTGGAAATGTCGACTACAGATTCTACAGGTGAGTCCGCTGGAGCTAAGAAAGGGAAGTAGCAACTTCTGTTTGCTGGACTCAGAAGGACCGGGGGAAAATTATAATTCCGGAAACGCTTCAAGCCTGTGGAGTGTGCATGTGAGAACAGGCTAGGGCGTAAATCCAGAGCCCCACAGTGGGTCTTGCTTGGTCTTCCCTTGGGAACGTGTCATGGTTCCGACAGATGAAACTCTTCCAAAAAATTGGAGGCATTGTTTACCTTAAAGAATCTTTTATTGGAGTAGCATAACATTGGCACTGCATAATCGAAGCCAAAAACTGAATTCCCCTCCCCTGGGCACATGGTATGAAAGCACAATTCCCTCCTCCAATTAACAGTCATAAATCACATTCCCCAATTAGCTTGAAGCACAGGCTTCCTCTCCAGTTCTCCAGCCCCCCAATTCCTTATCAGCTCTGGGCTCAATATCCTTGATTCTCACACTAGGTTTAGTGTTGTTATGTCTAGCCAGAGTTTCATTCACATTCCCCCCCCCCCCTATTCCCAGCATCATCTAACTCTGAAAGCGGAAGGGAAAAAGATGGCTCCATTTCCATCTGTTGTCAATGCAAAACACCCGATGTTAGCAGCGTTGACAGCCTCTTTGAGAGAAAGAACATTTTGTTCAACTTGAATTTCATACAAGGAACTGAAAATGTGAGGGTGACATCAGTTGATCTGCTTGTTGGGTTAGCCCATTTCCTGGGTGATAGAAGGAAAGGGAAGGTCTTCAAAAATTTAATATTGAAAGAGAAATTTAAAATTGAATTTGCTGCAGTGGAAATTGACTGAGTGGAGAAGCAACTGTGATGCTTGGACAACAGGAAGTTTGAAGACCCCTGGACTAAATCCTACTTCACACGTACATTAATAATTATATAAGATATTAGACATAGTCAATCGGTTATTTTGAGTTCTGGGGATATTTTATGGCTCCTTAGAACAATAGGTTCTTTCCTGTTTTTCTGTTTAGTCTGCCTTTCCTGTTATCCCATTCAGCTAATTTTCCCTGGCTAGCCATTTTGTCTTGCGGCTATTTTTACAGCTTGTTTTTTTCCTTTTCTCACTCTGAAAACCCAGCCAATTTTTGCCTATGTGTTATTCTATTCTATTCTATTCTATTCTATTCTATTCTATTCTATTCTATTCTATTCTATTTGTAATTCTCTTCTATTCTATTCCATTCCATTCCATTCCATTCCATTCCATTCCACTCCATACTATCTTCTATTCTATTCTATTCTATTCTATTCTATTCTATTCTATTCTATTCTATTCTATTCTATTCTATCTTACATCCTCCATTTATGCTACCCTTTCCTGGTTCCCATCCATTGAAGCTTTTATGGCAAGCTTGTTTGTCTACTCAGTAAGTTTCCATCGTACCGTAGACTTGACTGAATTCATCATATTGGTGCATATTTACCAAAGCTTAGCAAATGGTCTGAATGTAACTGCTCAGTCTTGAATCAATCTGGCTGGACACGCTGATGGCAAGATGAAGCCCAGCCACTCAACTCAGAAATTCAAAAGCTTTTTTTTTCCTCCTCTCCATCCTTGTTTTCAGTCTGAACATTCGCAGGTTTGAGCTGCCCCATTCAACAATTGAACCCATGCCAGGCCAGGGCGTGAGAGTCTCCATCAGGAATGCTTTGGCTGAAATGACTGGCTGTTGGCAGCTGAAGAAACGTTGGCTGTGAGTCTCCCTGCTCCTTACCTTTCCATACCTTTGTGGTTGCTTCTGAAACTGGCTGAGTACCAGAAGGCCATTCATCCCTCTGCTTTGTGGCAGAAATAACTGCATCTCGAAACAGAAAGTTCATTCTAGGGCTATCATGGCTGGCCTCTTGGACATCACATGGACCTTTCAACCCCGTGGTTTAGAACAGAAGCTCAGGCAGCCGTTGCCTGGTATCCCAAATCCACACACTTTAGAATAATTTTATCTACCTCTGTGCCCGTGGAGATCCTCCATCATCCAGGTCATGGTTGTCCCAATCGTGTTTTCTTTAAAAGGCAACTGGATTTTCTTGTTTCCCACCCCCCTTGGAAACATTTTTCTTCTCATCCAAGAAGTAAAAGAAACTTGTTGGATGAGAAGCAAAAAGTTTTCAAGCAAACCCCCCCCCCTTCAAGAAAGTCCAGTTGCCTTTTGGAAAAAAAAACACTTTTGGGATAACTACCTCCGTGCAAGTGGAAGGGGAACAAAAATCTTTTCTGTTGGATCAGGAAGACTCCTGCATCGCGTCTATGAGCTTGGGGTCCTCAATGCCCCTCCCAGGCAATTGGGCAAATTAAGTATTTACTAGCTGAACTTCAGCAACATCTGTTAAACCAGCCCTGTGTAAAGCATGGAACTTTAGTCCACACGGAATGGAGTCAACACATGGCCAAGGTCTTGTATCTCCATAGTGGGACTTAGCTTTTGAGCAGCAAAGCTGGTCAAAAGCACTAAGTCCAGAAGAAACGTTAAGATATACAGTAGATCTTCCATTCTTCAGAGCGGTCTAGAATCATCCAATAATGGAAGGATATGTTGGTTGTTTGGTTAAGTTGGATGAGTTGTTTGTTTGTTTGATTGAGTGAGTTGGATGAGTTCAATGAGTTCAATGAGTTAGTTGGTTGGTTGAGTGAGTTGGATGAGTTGGTTGGTTGAGTGAGTTGGATGAGTTGGTTGGTTGAGTGAGTTGGATGAGTTGGTTGGTTGAGTGAGTTGGATGAGTTGTTGGTTGAGTGAGTTGGATGAGTTGGTTGGTTGAGTGAGTTGGATGAGTTGGTTGGTTGAGTGAGTTGGATGAGTTGGTTGGTTGAGTGAGTTGGATGAGTTGGTTGGTTGAGTGAGTTGGATGAGTTGGTTGGTTGAGTGAGTTGGATGAGTTGGTTGGTTGAGTGAGTTGGATGAGTTGGTTGGTTGAGTGAGTTGGATGAGTTGGTTGGTTGAGTGAGTTGGATGAGTTGGTTGGTTGAGTGAGTTGGATGAGTTGGTTGGTTGAGTGAGTTGGATGAGTTGGTTGGTTGAGTGAGTTGGATGAGTTGGTTGGTTGAGTGAGTTGGATGAGTTGGTTGGTTGAGTGAGTTGGATGAGTTGGTTGGTTGAGTGAGTTGGATGAGTTGGTTGGTTGAGTGAGTTGGATGAGTTGGTTGGTTGAGTGAGTTGGATGAGTTGGTTGGTTGAGTGAGTTGGATGAGTTGTTTGGTTGAGTGAGTTGGATGAGTTGGTTGGTTGAGTGAGTTGGATGAGTTGGTTGGTTGAGTGAGTTGGATGAGTTGGTTGGTTGAGTGAGTTGGATGAGTTGGTTGGTTTGAGATGAGTTGGGAGTGAGTTGAGTTGGGTTTGAGTGAGTTGGATGAGTTGGTTGGTTGAGTGAGTTGGATGAGTTGGTTGGTTGAGTGAGTTGGATGAGTTGGTTGGTTGAGTGAGTTGGATGAGTTCAATGAGTTAGTTAGTGGTTTGGTTGGGTGAGTTGGATGAGTTGTTTAGTTGAGTGAGTTGGATGAGTTGTGTAAGTTGGTTGGTTCTTTGGTTGAGTGAGTTGAATAGGTTGTATGAGTTGGTTGATTGAGTTGGATGAGTTGATTGATTCTTTGGTTGAGTGGATTGAATGGGTTGGATGAGTTGGTTGGTTGGTTGAGTGAGTTGGGTGAATTGGTTGGTTAGCTGATTGAGTGAGTTGGATGAATTGGATGCATTGGTTGTTTGGTTGAGTGACTTGAATAAGTTGTATGAGTTGGTTGGTTGGTTGAGTTGTGTGTGTTGATTGGTTGAGTGAACTGAATGAGTTAGATGACTTGGTTGATTGAGTGAGAGACAAAATCCATCTTGATATTTACCTTTATTTAATTGCTCTTAATTTTAATGCTTTTATACTTCTGCTTTTTTGCCATTGTAAGCCTCCTAGGGTCACTCTGGGTAGTGCAATGGGTGGCATATCAATTTAATAAATAAACACATCTTGACCTCTATATGAACATTGTAGTCCTGCAAGGCAGCACACCAGTGTCAAACGGGACACTATCAGGTTGAGCAGTGGGAGGGGACACGACAAGGAATTGAATAACAGGAATAACTGCTTCAGCCTAGGCTTAGGCTGGTGGCTTCGTTATCTCTTGAAACAAATGTCTGAGATTTTGGGGGGTGCTCCTGTTGTGTTGTGTCTCCTACCAGCAAGGACCAGGGCTCCTTTGAACTGAAGGTTGACGGCATCTCCATCTCCGTGGGCTTGCAACTGGGGAGAGATGGTGCTGGGAGACCCACGATTACCATCTTGGATTGTAACGCCCACATTTCCAATGTCGACATTGACATATCTGGCAAATGGGAGTAAGTCAATTTTGTTAATATTCACAGAAGGTTCTTCATATGAATATCTGCCCTTCACATTAGCATCAGCCAAGGGAGGAGGAGGAGGAGGAGGAGGAGGAGGAGGAGGAGGAGGAGGAGGAGGAGGAGGAGGAGGAGGAGGACTGTGGGGTCCTTGGTGCTCTGAGCTTGGCTGTTTTCTTGCAGACATTTCATGATCCAACTAGGGAACATCATCAGTGCTAGAAGGGAGAGTGGTGTAGAGAGGAGGAGGAGGAGGAGGAGGAGGAGGAGGAGGAGGAACGATGATGAGGACTGTGGGGTCCTTGGTGGTCTCTGAGCTTGGTGGTTTTCTTGCAGATGTTTCTTGCAGATGTTTCCGAACTAGGTAACAACATCAGTGCTAGAAGGCAGTAAGGTCTGTTCTCTGTTTATATACAGCTGGTTTGCCCTCTCAATGAGAGTATTCTTGGTAGTTCCTTGATTAGGCTGTTGTTTACTGCTGGCTTGTTTGTCTGTTAGATAATCATTTCTTGATTGGGGTATTGTTGAGTAGTGATAATTAGCAATTGTTGGCCTAGTGTTAATCTAGGTGTTAATCTTTGCTTATCTAATTGTTGATTGCTAGGGAGGAGATCTTTTGGTCTTTTTTCTTTCTTCTTTGCCCCCTTTGAATGGTAGGTAGAGGTTGTTTATCCTCTTTTTTTCTGTTTTCTTTTTTTTGCAATTTTTTTTTATTTTAGTTTCAAGTTTTGTATTAATTTTACAATATTACATTTACATATTTGAAAAGTAGCGTGGCGGCTGAGCACAGTAATTCCGTTACATTTGAATATCATCAGTACAAATCTCAAATTATTACAACAAACTAATTCCCTCTCTTTTCCCCATGATATGTACCGTCATGTTCAAACCATTATAGTTCTTATTCTATTAATCAAACAAAAAATACCTTTCTAATATTCACCAATAATCTTCAGTCTATGCATATCTTAATTAATTTGACATTCCACCTTTTAGACAATAACCTAGTAAGTTTTTCTTAACTTTAATTTGCCATTGATATTTAAGTTTAACGTTTAATCTTTATCATTTCCAGGTTTTAAATGATCCCAATTTCTAAGTCACATTTGGAGCTAATAATTTTTTTTCCTTTTCTTCCTTTCACTTTCTTCCTTTCTTCCTTTCCAGAAAGAGAAAAAAAAATTGAAAATAAACCACCAACATTTATACCACAAACCCATATACAAATTTAATTATTAGTACTTATACTTTTAAGTTTAACCTTTGTCTCAACTCATAACAATATCTTAAATTCAAATCTTAATCATTTGTAGATGTTCAGATTACATTTAATATTTAATTTTTCCAAATTTTAATTAAACACAATTCCTTTATCCCAATTGCTCCTACATTCTAATATTTAAAATACACATCTTATATTAACTTCTACCCTCTATCTTACCCATCTAATGACAATATAATATTCTTATTTCAACATATTTCTAGATTTTATATGCCCAAAATTTTCTTTATCTCAAATCGTTACAATGTCTTGTATTCAGAATACATATTCTATCTATTTAGATATAGTCTATTTTAGATCTCATATATAGATCAGAACCCCAATCTTTTTCAATCTTATTCTAGCTTTTTTCCTCTGCCAGGTCATTTTTCATATTTTTGCCTTTAAATTCTATTCTATTCTGTTCTGTTCTACTCTACTCTACTCTACTCTACTCTACTCTACTCTACTCTACTCTACTCATCAATGGCTTGATGAGTTGACCCTCAAAAGCCTCCTTGCCTTCTTCAAGCCAGAGATTAGAGTAGAGTAGAGTAGAGTAGAGTAGAGAAGAGTAGAGTAGAGTAGAGTAGAGTAGAGTAGAGTATACTCTAACCTCTGGCTTGAAGAAGGCAAGGAGGCTTTTGAGGGTCAACTCATCAAGCCATTGACTATGAACCTCAACTGTGGCCTTTGCTTTTGCAGGTGGCTGTATAACCTATTCAAAAGCAAGGTGGAATCGGCTTTCAAGACAGCCATGGAAAGCAAGGTAAAGACTTGGGACCCTGGGCCTTCACACATGGAAGCAACCTGAAACTAAGGAGGAATTTTCTGAAAGTTAGAACAGTTAACCAGTGGAACAACCTGCCTCCAGAAGTCATGGGTGCTCCATTGCTGGAGGTTTTTAAGAAGAAATTAGGCAATCATTTGTATAGGTCAGTGGTGGCAAACCTATGGCACGCGTGCCAGAGGGTCACTCAGAGCCCTCTCGTGGGCATGCGCACCATGCCCCAGAGGTGGCAACCATCCCTCTTCAACCAGCTGCCTGCTAACGAGGTCCCACGTGGCCAGATGCATCCCAGCACAGCTGGTTTCCCTCGCCCCCGTCCCATCCCTCCTGGCCTCCCATGCTCTCCTTTTCCTGGGCGTGACCCACTGCATCGCCTCCTCAGCTGTCAGCTGGCCGTCCAGCTCAGAAGCAGCTTTTCTGAACTGCTGGTGGTGGGCCATGGAACCCCAGAGTGGGGCTATGGCTGCTGACGGACACTGTCGGCCCCCATGCGCTCACTGGCCTCTGTGTGTGGGGGGCGATGGTGTCAGGCAGCAGCCGCCCCGGCCCCTGCCTCGCGTTGCCCTGCTACAAGGGCACTCCCGCTCTGCTTCATCGTGCCTTGCCTCATCCTGCAGGATGAGCCTCCTGCCCACTGCTCCACCTGCCAGAGACCCCCTGAATCTCCCCCAACCCTTCCTGGCCCCCACAGGAGTCCCTGCCCACGAGCAACATCAAAGTGACCACGTCCACCTTGGCCACACCCAATCTACCATGACCACAGCCACGCCCACCTGGCACCCGGAGATAAATAAGTGGGTTTTGGGTTGCGACGGGTGGAAACTAATCAAGGAGAGAAGCAACTTGGAACTAAGGAGAAACTTCCTGACAGGGAGAACAATTAACCAGTGGAACAACCTGCCTCCAGAAGCAGTAAATGCTCCAATCCTGGAAGTTTTTAAGAAGAGACTGGACAGCCTTTTGTCCGAAATGGTATAGGGTTTCCTGCCTGAGCAGGGGGTTGGACTAGATGACCTCCAAGGTCCCTTCCAACTTTACTACTATTATTATTATTATTTGGGCACTTGGTCTCTAAAAGGCTCGCCATCACTGGTATAGGTTCTCCTGCTTGAGTAGGGAGTTGGACTAGAAGACCTCCAAGGTCTTATTATTATTATTGTTGTTGTTGTTGTTGTTGTTGTTGCTGTTGCTGCTGCTGTTGTTATTATTATTATGCCAGCAGTGTGCTGCAGCTGCTCCAAAAGCCAACACATTCCTGGGTTTCATCAAGAGAGGGATAGCATCAAGATCACGAGAAGTGATAGTACCGCTTTATATCACACTAGTGAGACCACACATGGAGTGTTGCATCCAGTTCTGGTCACCACAATACAAAAAAAAAAGATGCTGAAGCCCTAGAAAGAGTTCAGAGAAGAGCAATAAAGACGATAAAGACTCAACATGAATGGCTAAGGAAACTAGATAGGTTTAACTGAATGAAAAGAAGGAGTGGGGGTGGGGGGTTAGACATGATAGCAGCCTTCCAGCATTTGAGGGGCTGTCGCAGAGAAGAGGGGGTCCACCTATCCTCCAAAGCACCAGAAGGCAGGAGGAGAAACAATGGATGGAAAATCCCCTGGAATTAAGGAGGAATTTCCCAACAGTGAGGACAATTAACCAGTGGAACAGCTGGCCTCCAGAAGTTATGGGTGCTCCATCGCTGGAGGTTTTTAAGAAGAGACTGGACAGTCATTTCTCTGGCATGGAATAAGGACATAGGACATAGGATAGAATAATAGAGTTGGAAGGGACCTGGAAGGTCTTCTAGTCCAGCTCTGCTCGAGCAGGAGACGCTGCACCAGGGGTCTGCAACCTTAACAACATTAAGACTTGTGGACTTCAGCTCCCAGAATTCCTCAGCCAGCAGAGCTGGCTGAGGAATTCTGGGAGCTGAAGTCCACAAGTCTTAAAGTTGCCATGGTTGCAGACCCCTCCCCTATACCATTTCAGACAAATGGCTGTCCAAACTTTTGAAAAGGACTCTTCCCTCAGCAAGGGGTGGGACTAGAAGACCTTAAGGGTCCCTCCCGGGCCTTGGACTCTATGATTCTACATCTGGGATGGAATCCATTGTGCAACGGGTGGAAAACGGAGTCCTTCGGCGAGTTTATTTATTTTATCTTAACCGCTCTTCAGGGAATGATTAGCAACTGAGACCGATTACTACAGATCTTATGACACTGAGCAATCAAATTGCTCATCCGAATGGAACTCGGCCCGCATTTTCAGACACGGTCATTGGTACTATTGCAAAACTCTATTGCAGCACACAAATGCCTGCTTTGGGTTGGCCTACAAATTGAGGAGGGGGTCACATCCAGCAACCTTCCGTGGTAGGAAATGGTGGCTAAGAGAGGAGCTGATGGCCCTCATTTACCATCTTGTTTGGTTCCTGCTGAAAATGGTTGCTTGATTTTGTTTTTCCTCTCTTAAGGACTACCCTCTTGTGCATTTTTTTTCCCCAGATCTGTGACATAGTGAGAACTTCTGTTAACTCCAAACTGGAGTCCCACTTTCAGTCTCTGCCAGGTAAGAGCGAAACCCTTGGAGTATGAATGGACCCTCAAAAGATTGCTCCATCAGGAGAAGAAGAGCATCATTTAAGGCAGGGGTCTTCAAACTTGGCCCTTTTATGACTTGTGGACTTCAACTCCCAGAATTCCTCAGCCAGGCACGTGTTGAAGTCCACAAGTCATAAAAGGGCCAAGTTTGAAGACCCTTGATTTAAGGAAACCAGCATTTGTTTGCATCTCACTGTTTATGCCTAACTGGTCCAGAGCTTCTAGTTACTCTTTTTACTTATTGTTGGACCCCTTATTATAGAACAGTAGAGTTGGAAGGGACCTTGAAGGTCTTCTAGTCTCACCTGCTCAAGCAAGAGATACAATACCATCCAGGATAAATGGCTTTCCAACCTCTTCTTGAAGACCTCCAGTGATGGGGCATCCACAACCTCTGGAGGCCAGCCTTTCTACTGGTTAATTATTCTAACTCTCAGGAAAATTCTCCTTAGTTCCAGATTGCTTCTCTCCTTGATGAGTTTCCATCCGTTGCTTCTTGTCCTGCCCTCTGAGACTGGAGGCTAAACCATACCATGAATGGTTGGGGGACCTAAATATGTTTAGTCTAATGAAGAGAAGGACTAGGGATGATATGATAATCTTCCAATACTTGAGGGCCTCCAACAGAGAAGAGGGAGTCAAGCTATTCTCCAAAGCATCTGAAGGCAGGACAAGAAGCAACGGATGGAAACTAATCAAGGAGAGAAGCAACCTGGAATTAAGGAGAAACTTCTTGACAATGAGGACAATTAACCAGTGGAGAAGACTCCTGCGAGTCCCTTGGACTGCAAGGCGTTCAAACCGGTCAGTCCTAGAAGAGATCAACCCTGACTGCTCTTTAGAAGGCCAGATCCTGAAGCTGAAACTCAAGTACTTTGGCCACCTAATGAGAAGGAAGGATTCACTGGAGAAGAGCCTAATGCTGGGAAAGATTGAGGGCAATAGAAGAAGGGGACGACAGAGAATGAGATGGCTGGATGGAGTCACTGAAGCAGTAGGGGTGAACTTAAATGGACTCCAGAAGATGGTAGAGGACAGGAAGACCTGGAGGAACGTTGTCCATGGGGTCGCAATGGGTCGGACACGACTTCGCAATTAACAACAACAACAACCAGTGGAACCACCTTCCTCCAGAAGTTGTGGGTGCTCCATCACTGGAGGTTTTCAAGATTGGACAATGATTTGTTTGGAATGATATAAGGTCTTCGCTTTGAGCAGGGATTGGACTAGAAGACCTCCAAGGTCCCTATCAGATCTACATTTTATGGTTCTCCACCATCTTTGACACTGTCCTACAGAAGAGACAAAGATCCTTGATGTCATCCCCATGTTGTCTTTTCCCCCAGTTACCACCAGAATTGACAACACATCTAGCATCGATTATTCTCTGGTTGGGCCACCCATTGCTACAAGCGATTGCGTAGACTTGGACCTCAAGGTAAGCTTCAGCAGAAGACCTGGAGGAGGATGGTCCTCCAGAAGGATGCCCCTCAGATGCTTGTCATTCTTCCCTCCTTCCCTCCCCCTGTGAGTCTCAGCCTCTTTGTACCAAGACAGGATGCAACCATTTTAGGAGTTGCCTACAGTTCTTCTTTGCTTCTTGCTTCAGAATGGAAAGAAACCAAGTCACCGAAGTGAGTGGAGAAGACATCTGGGCTCCCAGATCACCCACTGCTGCTATTAAGAGTCTTCTGTACTACTCACCTCTTAGAGAGCCAGTTGGATGTCATGGTTAAGGCAAGCACAAGCCAGAAACCTGGAGGCTGTGAGTTCTAATCCCACATTAGGCAGGAAAGCTGGCTGGGTGACTTGGAGTCAATTACCAGGAGATGGTGAGTTGACCATGTCCTTATGCCTAAGGCGGAACTAGAACTCACCGTCTCCTTGCGATTGGCCCAAAGTCACCCAGCCGGCTTTCCTGCTTAAGAGGGACTAGAACTCACCGTCTCCTGGTGATTGGCCCAAAGTCACCCAGTTGGCTTTTGTGCCTAGTCAGGACTAGAACTCACAGCCTCCTTGTGATTGGCCCAAAGATACCCAGTTGGATTTATGCCTAGGCAGGACTAGAACTCACAGCCTCCTTGTGATTGGCCCAAAGTCATCCAGCAGGCTTTTATGCCTAGGCAGGACTAGAACTCACAGTCTCCAGCTGATTGGCCCAAAATCACCCAGTGGCTTTCATTCCTAAGGCGGAACTAGAACTCACAGCCTCCTTGTGATTGGCCCAGAGTCACCCAGTTGGCTTTTATGCCTAAGGCGGGACTAGAACTCACAGCCTCCTGGTGATTGGCCCAAAGTCACCCAGTTGGCTTTTATGCCTAAGGCGGGACTAGAACTCACAGCCTCCTGGTGATTGGCCCAAAGTCACCCAGTTGGCTTTTATGCCTAGTCAGGACTAGAACTCACAGCCTCCTGGTGATTGGCCCAAAGTCACCCAGTTGGCTTTTATGCCTAAGGCAGGACTAGAACTCACAGCCTCCTGGTGATTGGCCCAAAGTCACCCAGTTGGCTTTTATGCCTAGTCAGGACTAGAACACACAGCCTCCTGGTGATTGGCCCAAAGTACCCAGTTGGCTTTTATGCCTAGGCAGGACTAGAACTCACAGCCTCCTGGTGATTGGCCCAAAGTCACCCAGTTGGCTTTTATGCCTAAGGCGGGACTAGAACTCACAGCCTCCTGGTGATTGGCCCAAAGTCACCCAGTTGGCTTTTATGCCTAGTCAGGACTAGAACTCACAGCCTCCTGGTGATTCGCCCAAAGTACCCAGTTGGCTTTTATGCCTAGGCAGGACTAGAACTCACAGCCTCCTGGTGATTGGCCCAAAGTCACCCAGTTGGCTTTTATGCCTAAGGCGGGACTAGAACTCACAGCCTCCTGGTGATTGGCTCAAAGTCACCCAGTTGGCTTTTATGCCTAGTCAGGACTAGAACTCACAGCCTCCTGGTGATTCGCCCAAAGTACCCAGTTGGCTTTTATGCCTAGTCAGGACTAGAACTCACAGCCTCCTGGTGATTCGCCCAAAGTACCCAGTTGGCTTTTATGCCTAGGCAGGACTAGAACACACAGCCTCCTGGTGATTGGCCCAAAGTCACCCAGTTGGCTTTTATGCCTAGTCAGGACTAGAACTCACAGCCTCCTGGTGATTGGCCCAAAGTCACCCAGTTGGCTTTTATGCCTAGGCAGGACTAGAACACACAGCCTCCTGGTGATTGGCCCAAAGTCACCCAGTTGGCTTTTATGCCTAAGGCGGGACTAGAACTCACAGCCTCCTGGTGATTGGCCCAAAGTCACCCAGTTGGCTTTTATGCCTAAGGCGGGACTAGAACTCACAGCCTCCTGGTGATTGGCCCAAAGTCACCCAGTTGGCTTTTATGCCTAAGGCGGGACTAGAACTCACAGCCTCCTGGTGATTGGCCCAAATTCACCCAGTTGGCTTTTATGCCTAGTCAGGACTAGAACACACAGCCTCCTGGTGATTCGCCCAAAGTACCCAGTTGGCTTTTATGCCTAGTCAGGACTAGAACTCACAGCCTCCTGGTGATTGGCCCAAAGTCACCCAGTTGGCTTTTATGCCTAAGGCGGGACTAGAACTCACAGCCTCCTGGTGATTGGCCCAAAGTACCCAGTTGGCTTTTATGCCTAGTCAGGACTAGAACTCACAGTCTCCTGGTGATTGGCCCAAAGTCACCCAGTTGGCTTTTATGCCTAAGGCGGGACTAGAACTCACAGCCTCCTGGTGATTGGCCCAAATTCACCCAGTTGGCTTTTATGCCTAGCAGGACTAGAAAAAACTCACAGTCCTCCAGCTGATTGGCCAAAATCACTACCCAGTGGCTTCATTTCCTAAGCGGACTAGAACTCACAGCCTCTTGTGATTGCCCGAGTCACCCAGTTGGGCCTTTGTATGCCTAAGGCGGGAACAGACTCACAGCCTCCTGGTGATTGGCCCAAAGTCACCCAGTTGCTTTTATGGCCTAAGGCGGGACTTAGAACTCACAGCCTCCTGTGATTGGCCCAAAGTCACCCAGTTGGCTTTTATGCCTAAGGCAGGACTAGAACTCACAGCCTCCTGGTGATTGGCCCAAAGTCACCCAGTTGGCTTTTATGCCTAGTCAGGACTAGAACACACAGCCTCCTGGTGATTGGCCCAAAGTACCCAGTTGGCTTTTATGCCTAGGCAGGACTAGAACTCACAGCCTCCTGGTGATTGGCCCAAAGTCACCCAGTTGGCTTTTATGCCTAAGGCGGGACTAGAACTCACAGCCTCCTGGTGATTGGCCCAAAGTCACCCAGTTGGCTTTTATGCCTAGTCAGGACTAGAACTCACAGCCTCCTGGTGATTGGCCCAAAGTCACCCAGTTGGCTTTTATGCCTAGGCAGGACTAGAACTCACAGCCTCCTGGTGATTGGCCCAAAGTCACCCAGTTGGCTTTTATGCCTAGTCAGGACTAGAACTCACAGCCTCCTGGTGATTGGCCCAAAGTCACCCAGTTGGCTTTTATGCCTAGGCAGGACTAGAACACACAGCCTCCTGGTGATTGGCCCAAAGTCACCCAGTTGGCTTTTATGCCTAAGGCGGGACTAGAACTCACAGCCTCCTGGTGATTGGCCCAAAGTCACCCAGTTGGCTTTTATGCCTAAGGCGGGACTAGAACTCACAGCCTCCTGGTGATTGGCCCAAAGTCACCCAGTTGGCTTTTATGCCTAAGGCGGGACTAGAACTCACAGCCTCCTGGTGATTGGCCCAAAGTACCCAGTTGGCTTTTATGCCTAGTCAGGACTAGAACTCACAGTCTCCTGGTGATTGGCCCAAAGTCACCCAGTTGGCTTTTATGCCTACGGCGGGACTAGAACTCACAGCCTCCTGGTGATTGGCCCAAATTCACCCAGTTGGCTTTTATGCCTAGTCAGGACTAGAACACACAGCCTCCTGGTGATTCGCCCAAAGTACCCAGTTGGCTTTTATGCCTAGGCAGGACTAGAACTCACAGCCTCCTGGTGATTGGCCCAAAGTCACCCAGTTGGCTTTTATGCCTAAGGCGGGACTAGAACTCACAGCCTCCTGGTGATTGGCCCAAAGTCACCCAGTTGGCTTTTATGCCTAGTCAGGACTAGAACTCACAGCCTCCTGGTGATTGGCCCAAAGTCACCCAGTTGGCTTTTATGCCTAGGCAGGACTAGAACTCACAGCCTCCTGGTGATTGGCCCAAAGTCACCCAGTTGGCTTTTATGCCTAAGGCGGGACTAGAACTCACAGCCTCCTGGTGATTGGCCCAAAGTCACCCAGTTGGCTTTTATGCCTAAGGCGGGACTAGAACTCACAGCCTCCTGGTGATTGGCCCAAAGTCACCCAGTTGGCTTTTATGCCTAGGCAGGACTAGAACTCACAGCCTCCTGGTGATTGGCCCAAAGTCACCCAGTTGGCTTTTATGCCTAGGCAGGACTAGAACACACAGGCTCCTGGTGATTGGCCCAAAGTCACCCAGTTGGCTTTTATGCCTAGTCAGGACTAGAACTCACTGTCTTCTAGCCTGGTGTCTTAATCACTAGACCAAACTGGCTCCCTAACCCTAATCTCCATGGGGAAGACATTCCCCAAAGCTTGGGATCCTGCCGCAAAGGACCATCGCCTGGTCCTCCCCATCCGACTCTCTTCGGCTGACGGGATCTGCAGCAGCTCCCGTCGGCTAGATCGAAATGGATGGAGATTCTTGGGAAAAGACCCGGTCCTTCAGGGATCCCGGTCCCGTCCCTCTTTGCTAAGGTGACCAACTTTTTTACAATGAAAAGGAGGACACAAATAAATCGAAGAAAAAAATATCATAAATAAAAGAAACATTTTATTCATTGCAACAATAATACAGAATACACTATAATATGATAAATGCATAATAAAAAACATTTGTAACAATAACATTTTATATTGTAATTATGTTTAACATGCCGTGCCCCTGCCTGCAGCTGCCCCGCCAGCACTGCTGCCCCGCCGTGTAGAGCGGGCCCCGCAGCTCCCAAAACAGCAGCTGCGCTGGCTCTGGTCCGGGGGGGGGGCAGCCCGCCATCGACACACCCCGCCTGCAGCCGCCCTGTCAGCACCCCCGCCCACCCTGCACAGCCCCGTGTAGAGCAGACCCCCCCCCCGGCTCCCACAGCACGGCGGGCAGCCAGACACCACCGCCCATCACACCCCCACTGCCTCTTGCTGCCCCTGCCTCTTGCGCCCGCAGCCATTATTGCCCTAGCAGGGCCGAAGATCAAGAGAAAGTGACTGTGGTATCGCCACTCCAGTCTCCTCCAGTTATCTTCGGGACTAACTAGGACAGTGGTTCTCAACCTTTTTAATGCCGCAACCCCCAACCGGTCGTAAGTCAAGGACTACTCAACCAGTCGTAAGTCGAGGACTATTCAACGGGTGCAGCACCGTTTGCAGAATGGGACTTTTGGCGGGCTCAGCAGGGCAGAGACAGCCTGGACAATTCCGATTGGCTTTCGAAAGCCAATAGAATTAGACTCTATTCAAGAGAGTCTCTTCTATTGGCTTTCAAAAGCCAATAGAATAAAAGGGAGTAGCACAGCTAAGGAAAAGGGGGAAAAATGGTGGACTGCGTTGTTTGGCGAACCCCGTGAAATGGTCATTTGACCCCAAATGGGGTCCCGACCCACCGGTGGAGAACCACTGAACTAGGAGATGGTGTAGTTGGGTAGCAGGGAGAGGTGCAAAGTTCCTGCCAATTCACCTTCACTGCAGACAACTTACATGTGCAAAGTTTGCCGGCCGGGTGTTTTGGCGCGCTCAGTAGCAATTCCTATTGGCTTTCAAAAGCCAATAGGGGGAGTAGTACAGCTCATGCAAAAAAAAAAAAAAAAAAACATCAAAAAAAGATGCCGGAACGCCGTTCTGAGCGTTCTATGAGAGAAAAAAAAAAGGCCCTGCAGATTAGTCTTCAAATATTGAAAAGGAGGACATGAAGGAGGACACTTTTGGAGGGAGGACAGAACTTACAAAAGGAGGACTGTCCTCCCTAAAGGAGGACAGCTGGTCACCTTACTCTTTCCGTGGGTCTTCCTAACTTCTCTCATGTTCTCCTACCAGGGTGAATTTTTCTCCAACGCCCAGCGTACTCCGGCTCCTTTCCTGCCGCCTCCCCTGTCTTTTCCGGTGGATCCGGACCGCATGGTCCAGTTTGCGATTTCCACCTACTTCTTCAACACGGCTGGCCAGGTCTACTACCAAGCCGAAAGACTGACCTCCTGGATCGTGGATGACATGGTGAGGCCGCGCAGATCGTGAAGCCCTGCCCGGAAGCATCTGGGATGGCCAGTCCTGCTTTCTTCTGCCTGATTCTGCACACAAAATGTGTGTGTTTGGTGTATGGGGGGTGGGTGAACAGGAGGTTCTAGCAGAGCGCCAGATCCTCAAAAACTGCCTCCCCAATTAATTTTCTAAGCAGAAACTTTAATCAACCAAGATGCAGATGTTTCTGCCGGGGGGTTGGAAACCACTGAGGAAGATTCTTCTAATAGCACTTTACAAGGCCTTGGTAAGGCCACACTTGGAAAATGGCATCCAGTGTTGATCACCGCGATGTAAAAAAGATGTTGAGACTCTGGAAAGAGTGCAGAGAAGGGGACTGGAGGCTAAAACATATAAGGAACGGCTGCTGGAATTGGGTATGTCTAGTTTAACGAAGAGAAGGATGAAGGGGCACATGATAGTAGTGTTCCAGTATCTCATAGGGCTGCCCCAAAGAAGAGGCAGTCAAGCTATTTTCCAAAGCGCCTGAAGGCAGGACAAGAAGCAACGGGTGGAAACTATCCAAAGAGAGAAGCAACCTAGAACTAAGGAGAAACTTCCTGACAGTGAGAACAATTAACCAGTGGAACAATCTGCCTCCAGATGTTGTGAGTGGTCCAACACTGGAAGTTTTTAAGAAGAGACTGGACAGCCATTTGTCCGAAATGGTGTAGGGTTTCCTGCCTGAGCAGGGGGTTGGATTGGATGACCTCCAAGGTCCCTTCCAACTTTATTATTATTATTATGGATCATCGCACAGTCAGCCAGATGTTCAGACTGGATTTGGCATTTTGTCTACCTATCGAGTCCTTACCCAGGACCTGGGATAGACAGATGTGGGTGTTTGATGGTATTACAGATATCGTCGCAAGATGGAAGCAGTTCCTAGTAAGGCCGCCTTTTGCAATTGACGAATAGCAAATTTGTCAATGCCAATGGTGTTCAAGTGGTGCTCCAGTTGTTTTGGGATTGCACCCAAGGAGTCTATGACTATTGGTACTACCCTTGCTTGCTTTTGCCACAGTCTTTCTATTTCTATTTGTAGGTCTTTGTATTTTGTTATCTTCCAATGCACCATTGTTGCTACTTTGTCATGCCGCTGCTTGTAGTCAATCTGTGCGATCTTGCAGCAGCTTACCAGGTGGTGCACTGTTTCTTCAGCTTCTTTGCATAGGCGGCACTTACTGTCTGTTGCTGTCTTCTCAATTTTGACTTTGTATGCATTTGTCCTTAAGGCTAGGTCTTGTGCAGCCAGAATTAGTCCCTCGGTCTCTTTCTTCAATTTTCCTGCTCTTAGCCATTGCCAGGTCTTGTTATTATCAGTTGTTGTTGTTGTTATTATTATAAAACCCAAGACAATAGAACAGAGCAGAATAGAGCTGGAAGGGACCTTGGAGGTCTTCTAGTCCAGCCCCCCACTCAAGCAGAAGAACCTATACCATCTCAGATAAGTGATTGTCTAGCTCAGGGGTAGGCAACCTTGGCCCTTTTATGACTGGTGGACTTCAACTCCCAGAATTCCTGAGCCAACATGAAGGGATCTATGCCCCTCCTCATGACTTGTGGACTTCAACTCCCAGAATTCCTGAGCCAATCGAGCTGAGGAGAAAGGGAGAAGTTTCCAAACTGAGCCATGCTGGCTTAGGAATTCTGGGAGTTGAACATGAGTCATGAGGGAGCCATAGTTCCCCCATGCTGGCTCAGGAATTCTGGGAGTTGAAGTCCAGAAGTCATGAGGGGGCCATAGTTCCCCCATGCTGGCTCAGGAATTCTGGGAGTTGAAGTCCACGAGTCATGAGGGGGCCATAGTTCCCCCATGCTGGCTCAGGAATTCTGGGAGTTGAAGTTCATGAGTCATGAGGGGCCGTAGTTCCCGCATGCTGGCTCAGGAATTCTGGGAGTTGAAGTCCACCAGTCATAAAAGGGCCAAGGTTGCCTACCCCTGGTCTAGCCTCTTTTTAAAAATCTCCAGTGATGGACCACCCATGATTTGTAGTGGCCAGCTGTTCCACTGGTTGATTGTCCTCACTGTCAGGAAGTTTCTCCTTAATCCCACGTTGCTTCTCTCTTTGGTCAGTTTCCGCCCTTTGCTTCTTGTCCTGCCCTCTGGTGCTTTGGAGAAGAGCTTGACTCCCTCTTCTTTGGGGCAGCCCCTGAGATACTGGAACACTGCTATCCTGTCAACCCCTTGATTCTTCTTTTCTTAATTTGATTCCTAAGTGAACCAGAGACAGTCAACGGGGCTAAAGGTGACTTAGGGTCATGGACAGGCTGAGGACTCACCTCCCGCCCTCTTTCCCACCTGCAGGTTCCTAAGGAAATTAAAATCCGGCTGAACACCGCCTGCTTCGAGCCCTTCATCCCGCAGGTCAGCCCCTCGGCCTTCCGATTCTGGGCCCTCATGAAAACAGAAGGGGGGGCATGTGGTGTGGGGAGGTGATTGTCTGGAGCCTTCTGAGGTGGCCCCATCCCAAATTATGAAGTCCCGAAGGCAAAGATGGACCTCAGAGTCACACCTGAAGTGCAGCAGAAGGCAGAAACCAGATGGGGATCTGATTGCACTTCTTTGGACTATGTTTTCTTGAAATCTGGGGTTCCCTTCACTTCAGCTTTTATAAGGATGTTTCCTCCTCCTCTTCCTCCTCCTCCTCCTCCTCTTCCTTCTCCCCCCTGCACATTCCACTCCTTTGTAGCACTGATGATGTTGCCTAGTTGGGTCATGAAATGTCTGCAAGAAAACAGCCAAGCTCAGAGAACACTAAGGACCCCACAGTCATGTCCTGCTCCTGCTCCTCCTCCTCCTCCTCCTCTCCTTTTCCTTGTCCTCTCTGCACACCCTCCCTTCCTTCTAACACTGATGATGGTACTAGTTGGGTAATGAAACACCTGCAAGAAAACAATCCAGCTCAGAGAGTACCAAGGACCCCACAGTCCTCCTCCTCCTTCTCCTCCTCCTCCTCCTCCTCCTCCTCCTCATCTCTGCACACTCCACTCCTTTCTAGCACTGATTATATTGCTTAGTTGGATCATAATGTCTGCAAAAAAAACCAACCCAGGTCAGAGAGCACCAAGGACCCCACAGCTCCTCCTCCTCCTCCTCCTCCTCTCCCTTTCTCCTGCTCCTGCTCCTCCTCCTCTTCCTCCTAGCACTGATGATGTTCCCCATTTGGGTCATGAAACGTCTGCAAGAAAACCACCCAGCTCAGAGAGCATCAGGGACCCCGCAGTCTCCCTCCTCCTCCTCTTTCTCCTCCTCCTCCTCCCTCCTTTCTGGCACTGATGATGTTCCCTCCCTGGGTCATGAAACGTCTGCAAGAAAACCGCCAAGCTCAGAGAGCACCAAAGACTGCCCATTTTAATCCTGGGCTACCAATACTCTTCATGAACTGCTAAATTTTTTTTGGGATCCTTCCAACGGATCTCAGAATTGCTACTTACCTAGGTTGTGCCCTGGAGCAAAGAACTATTTTGCAAGAGGAACCCAAGGTTGTCTTCAGAGCTAGAAGGGAGGAGGAGGAGGAGGAGGAGGAGGAGGAGGAGGAGGAGGAGGAGGAGGAGGAGGAGGGGGAGACTGTGGGGTCCCTGATGCTCTCTGAGCTGGGTGGTTTTCTTGCAGATGTTTCATGAAGTGTCAAACCATCATTTTAGGCTTGTTAGTGCAGAGAAGATGCTCGGATCCTTTCCTTACTCCTCACTCCTTCACCCACATTCTCTCCCTGGTTCTGCAAGAGCGTAAAGTCAAGGCAATCAAATAGCGAATCGCTGGCTGGGGCATTCTGGGAGTTGAAGTCCGTCTGTCTTAAAGTTGCCCTGCTTACGCAAACCGAAGGATATTCATTAATCTGTTCTACTCCAAACGACAACGGAGTTAGTTATTCCCCCACACCTGTGGGTGCTTCTTAGAAGATCTCAGCCATGTCTCTTTAATTTTCACCCTGGATTGAAACAACCATGGGACCCCCCCCTCAATCTCCAAAGGGGTGGGGGCCACCCAGTGAATCCGGGCTTCAAGCAAAGGAGGGGACCATCTTGGGAAATGTGACTTCTCATCTTCTCCCCAGATTAAGAAGCTCTACCCCAGCATGCCGATGAAGCTGAGGGTCTCCCCTTCTTCGGCCCCCTCTCTCAGCATCTCCCCCGAATCCATCTCGCTCGCCCCTTCGGTCGACATCCAGGCGTTTGCGATTCTCCCGAATTCCTCCCTGGCGCCCCTCTTTTTGATCGAAGTGGTAAGTTAGCTCTTCCATGTTATGCTCAAGGGTGGACAATCCAGAGGTTTTTGCACAGTCTTTTACGGGTAAGCCTCGACTTACGATCGTTTAGTGATCATTCAAAGTTATCACTGCCATGAAAAAAGGAATTTAGGACTGTTTTTCCACACTTACGACCAGTGGTGGGATTCAGCCGGTTTGCATCACTTCGGCAGAACCAATAGCTAATTTTTTGTTGCCCAGGCTCAGAACGGACTTCGGAAGTGGCACCCACACAGAGAATCGGTTGCTCACATATTTGAATCCCACCACTGATCATATTTATGTCTGTCTGTCTGTCTGTCTGTCTGTCTGTCTATCCATTATGTAACTATCTATATCTATCTATCTATCTATCTATCTATCTATCTATCTATCTATCTATCTATCTATCTATCTATCTATCTATCACATCTATCTATCCATTATCTATCTATCTATCTATCTATCTATCTATCTATCTATCTATCCATCCATCCATCCATCCATCCATCCATCCATCCATCCATCTATCTATCTATCTATCTATCTATCTATCTATCTATCTATCTATCTATCCATTATCTATATCTATCTATCTATCTATCTATCTATCTATCTATCTATCTATCTATCTATCTATCTCTATCTATCCATCTATCCATTATCTCTATCTATCTATCTATCTATCTATCTATCTATCTATCATCTATCTATCTATCTATCTATATCATATCTATCATCTATCTACCTATCTAACTCTATCTATCTATCTATCTATCTATCTATCTCTATCTATCTATCTATCTATCTATCTATCTATCTATCTATCTATCTATCTATCTATCTATCTATCTATCCCTCTGGTGGCGAACCTATGGCACAGGTGCCAGAGGCGGCACTCAGAGCCCTCTCTGTGGGCACGCGTGCCGTCGCCTCAGTCCTAGGCCTTCAGCTGGGTTTTATAAAACCTTTTCGCTATGGCCTCCACCGCCGTGTACAAAAAAAAAAAAGGTTCAATCAATCAGTCAATTTCAACTTCTCACGGGAAAAAAAAAGATCTTGCAAAGTTGGAATTGATTGATTGAACTTTTTAGTCCCACCCGGTCTGCCATTACCACCACAGCCACGCCCACCCAGTGGGCCACACCCACCCAATGGGCCACGCCCACCCAATGGGCCACGCCCACCCAATGGGCCACGCCACCCGGCACCTGACGATGCATAAGGTTTTGGGTTGCAGTTTGGGCACTCGGTCTCTAAAAGGTTCGCCATCACTGATCTATCTTATCTATCTATCTATCCATTATCTATCTACCTACCTACCTATCTCTATCTCTGTCTGTCTGTCTGTCTGTCTATCTATCTATCTATATCTATCTGTTGCCGCATGATCCCCATGATCACATGATTTACATTCAGATGCTCCGCAACTGACTCATATTTACAACGGTCGCAGCATCCCTGGGAGTCACATGATCCCCTTTTGGATTTGCTAAACCACCATTGAAAAGAAATGTAACATTGGGTTGATTATATGATGATCTGCTTAACGACCGGCCTGGCTTACAACTAATTCCAGACTTAATTATGATAGTTAAATTGAGGACGGCCTACATCCAAAGAAAAAGAGAATGGAAGTGGGCGTGAAACAGCCCTGATCTGCATCTTTCTCATTTCTGCTTTTTTCCTCTCCTTTCAGACCACGTCAGTTTCTGCCAAAGTTGATGTCAATTCTACTAGGATCTTTGGAGACCTGAAGATGGGCAGGTGAGCAAGGCAGGATCTAACCCTGACTCAGTACGGAAATACAAGGGGTCCTTGACTTACAACTGTTCGTTTAATGACAGTTTGAATGTACAATAGCAGTGAAAAAATTAACTTAGGATCATTTTTCCTGCTTACGGCCACTGCAGCATCCCCAGGATCAAAATTCAGACAATTGGCAACCAACTCACATTTACGACGGATGTCGTGTCCAGGGTGTGTGTGTGTGTGTGATCCCCTTTAGTGACCCACAAAGTCAATGGGAGAAGCCAGATTCACTTAACAACCACGTTACTACCTTACCCCCTGCAGGGATTCGTTTATCGGGGATTTTCTGAACTCAATTCCATAGTGTATTTCTGTAAATCTGAATTTGTACATAGAGTGAATAGCTTCATGTTTGCTCATCGAGAATGCAATGGTGAGAATAGAATAGAATAGAATAGAATAGAATAGAATAGAATAGAATAGAATAGAATAGAAAATATGGACTGGAATAGAAAATATGGAATGGAATGGAATAGAAAATATGGGATGGAATAGAAAATGTGGAATGGAATGGAATGGAATAGAAAATATGGACTGGAATAGAAAATATGGAATGGAATGGAATAGAAAATATGGGATGGAATAGAAAATGTGGAATGGAATGGAATAGAAAATGTGGAATAGAATAGAAAATGTGGAATGGAATAGAAAATGTGGAATGGAATGGAAGAGAAAATATGGAATGGAATGGAACAGAATGGAAAATATGGAATGGAATGGAATAGAAAACATGGAATGGAATGGATGTAGATGTAGTGTAGTGTAGTAGATGACCAGGCTGAAACCGAGGGAGGGGTCAAATGCCTCATCAGTCTTGAGTCTCTTCATGTCCACAAGAGATCTAACACCAGGTGTTGAAGCATTCACAGCTTCTGGAGGCAGGTTGTTCCACCGATTAATTGTTCTTACTGTCAGGAAATACGTCCTTGGTTCCAGGTTGCTTCTCTAAGTGGAAAAACTCAATGAAAAAGACGAGAGACAGCAACACAAAACAACGATTCCCACTTTAAGATTCAGAGGTTTATTTTGCTAATGATTTGGAACATAGCAAGCATAATAACACAACATCACTTACGTTAATAACCCATTGCAATGAGGACCATGTGGCATAGCAGATTCCAAAAGGACCGCTATAGGCCAATGGCCCTAAGCTACACTTAAATTAACATTTTTATACCTTTCTTCTCACGACCACCCACACATAGTCATTATCCTGCAAAGGCAGTTAGTTCCTTGTTCTTTTGTGCTGCCCAGCAGTTTCCACACATACCTGTGTTCATCTGAAACCTCTACTCATCTGTTACTTTCAGTTCCTCTTTTCCCACGGTTACCCTACTCATGTTCCAAATATACACAAAGCTACCTACTTTGCAATTTCACATGGCACAAAGCTCAGCAGATTACAAATAACACGTCTGTGTTGTGAAACAATACAGAGTTTGTGTGAAAGCTTTAAATCGCTACTGTGGGGCCTAACTCAGCTTCGCTCCAGCCTCATCTTGTAATATGAGGAGGGGGCTATATTTTCATCTCCCACACACTTAACCTTAGTAAAAGAAACCATCACTTTGGCTAAATGGAGTCAAGGGTTTTTTTTCCCTAAGGACCTGAGCTGAGGCAGGCCTGACATTTCGGCTAGATATTTCTCTTGTGTGATGTGCTTTCAACACATTTCTCTGTCTGTCCCTCCTGCAGGATGAGGTTCTCCTTGAAGCACTCAGATGTTGGGATCTTCTCGGTAAGACAGATGTTTGGGTTTTTTGGGTTTTTTTTTTTTTTGCTTGAAATTTATTTATTTTATTTTATTTTTAAAATTTATAAGCCGCCCCACTCCCGAAGGACTCTGGGTGGCTAACAATAAAAAACACATAAAACATAACAAAACAACAATACAAAAACAATCATCCAGGGGTAAGGTTTTATAAACCCCAGGCCTGCCGGAAAAGCCAGGTCTTAAGTAGCTTACGGAAGACCAACAGGGTGGGAGCGGTCCTAATCTCCGGGGGGAGCTGATTCCAAAGCGTGGGCGCCATCACAGAGAAGGCCCTCCTCCGCGGCCCCGCCAAATGGCACTGCTTGGCCGACGGGGCCTGAAGGAGGCCCAGCCTGTGGGATCTAACCGGACGTAGGGAACTATGAGGTAGCAGGCGGTCTCGCAAATAGCCTGGCCCTGAGCCATATAGGGCTTTAAAGGTAATGACCAACACCTTGAATTGGACCCGGAGACCAATAGGCAACCAGTGCAGCTCACGGAGGATAGGTGTAACGTGGGTGTATCGAGGAGCACCCACTATCACTCGCGTGGCTGCATTCTGGACCAACTGTAGTCTCCGAATACTTTTCAAGGGTAGCCCCATGTAGAGTGTGTTGCAGTAGTATGGTATGCCCCCCCCCTCCTTCCCAATCTTCTTGCGGTCCCGGCCAGAAGTCCATTTCACATTGGGGTCATCCTGTCTTCTTCTCCTGGGTTAGGTCCTTCTCCTCAGGACCTTCCTCAAAGACTTGATGATGGATTGAAATGTTCTCTTAGCCCTTCTGGTGGGTCCAGGCTATGGGTGGCAAAGTGGGTTAGAAGGATGGTGCCTCTTGGTCTACAAGCCAAGGCGGTGTGGCCCTAAGGATCTAGGATCTCCCGTTGAAGGAGGAGAATCAATCAAGTTGATTTGGTTTTCTGATTCTGGATTTCTCTCCCAACACGCAGGTACAGTTGCTGGAAACCCTCATAAACTTCCTTACGGCGAGCATCCTAATTCCACAAATGAATGGTAAGGACATTGTAAAGTCAAAAGACCTTTCACATAATCTTATCTCAGAGTTCAGAGAAGGGCAGCAAAGACTCTCAGGGGTCTGGAGGCCAAACCATACGATGAATGATTGAGGAACTAGGTATGTCAAACTATTCCCCAAAGCGCCTGAAGGCAGGACAAGAAGCAACAGATGGAGTCTAACCAAGGAGAGAAGCAACCTGGAACCAAGGAGGAATTTCCTGACAGTGAGAACAATTAACCAGGAGAACAAACTGCCTCCAGAAGCTCTGAATGCTCCAACACTGGAGGTTTTTAAGAAGAGACTGGACAGTCATTTGTTGGACTGATTGTTTCCTGCCTGAGCAGGGGGTTGGACTAGATGACCTCCAAGGTCCCTTCCTATTCTATTCTATTCTATTCTATTCTATTCTATTCTATTCTATTCTATTCTATTCTATTCTATTCCTATTCCATTCCATTCCATTCCATATTTTCTATTCTATCTATTTTATTCTATTCCTACTCTATTCTAATTTTACTCTTATTGTATTCTATTTCTATTCTATTCTATTCTATTCTATTCTATTCTATTCTATTCTATTCTATTCCATTCCATATTTTCTATTCTATTCTATTCTATTCTATTCTATTCTATTCTATTCTATTCTATTCTATTCTATTCCATTCCATTCCATTCCATATTTTCTATTCTATTCTATTTTATTCTATTCCTACTCTATTCTAATTTTACTCTTATTGTATTCTATTCTATTCTATTCTATTCTATTCTATTCTATTCCATTCCATTCCATTCCATATTTTCTATTCTATTCTATTCTAGTCTAGTCTATAGTCTAGTCTAGTCTAGTCTAGTCTAGTCTAGTCTAGTCTAGTCTAGTCTAGTCTAGCCACAGAGAAGAGGGGGGTCAACTTATTTTCCAAAGCAATAGAAGGCAGGACAGGAAGCAATGGATGGAAACTCACCAATGAGAAAAGCAACATGGAATTATTGAGAAAATTCCTAACAGTGAAGAGAATTAACCAGTGGAACTGCTTGCCCCCAGAAGGTGTCAGTGCTCCATCACTGGAGATTTTCAAGAAAAGACTGAACAGCCGTTAGTCTGAAATGGTGTAAGGTCTCTTGGTTGAGCTGGGGGTTGGACTAGAAGATCTCCAGGATCCCTTCCAACACTGTTATTATTCTCTATTCTGGAAAAGATGTAACAGTGGAAGATCATTAGAGAAGCAACCTAGAACTAAGGAGAAACATCCTGACAGTGAGAACAATTAACCAGTGGAACCACCTGCCTCCAGAAGCAGTAAATGCTCCATCATTGGAGGTTGTTAAGAAGAGACTGGACAGCCATTTGTCTGGGATGGGATGGGATGGGCAGGGTCTCCTGTCTAAGGAGGGGATTAGAAGACCACGAAGGGTGATAAGCACCTGCTTGGGCTTTCTTGTGTGATGCTGTGACTTCTTCTCTCTTCCAGCCCGTCTGGCTGAAGGATTTCCCCTCCCCCTCCTGGATCACCTGGAGATCTCCAATCCCATCCTTCAGGCTCACCAGGTGAGTGACAGGTGGGACACTTGGGTGGGACAGGTGGGAAACTGACTTTTATCCTACAGCAGGGTCTCCAAACAGTTGCTAAGGAACAGTTGTAAGTCAAGGATTACCTGTACACAAATGTTGTCGTGAACATTCTGAAATCTTGCAAGGCCTCAAGGTTGCAAACTCAGCCCGTAGGACTAAAGTTTGCATCCTCATAGCAAGAGGATTCTAATTGTCGGATTGGGCCAGAGAGAGAGAGAGAGAGAGAAAGGGAGAAAGAGAACGTGAAAGAGAGAGGGAGAGAGAGAGAAAGAGAGAAAGAGAGAGAAAGAGAGAGAAAGAGAGGAAGAGAGAGGAAGGGAGAGAGAAAGAAAGAGGGAGAGAAAAAAAGAAAAAGAGAGGGAAAGAGAGAGAAAGAGAAAGAGAGGGGGAGAGAGAAAGAAAGACAAAGGGAGAGAGAAAGAAAGAAAGAGAAAGAGAGAGTGAAAGAGAGAAAGAGAAAGAGGGAGAGAAAGAGAGAGGAAAAGAAAAAGAGGGAGATAGAAAGAAAGAGAGAAAGGGAGGAGAGAGAGAAAGAGAAAGAGAAAAAGAGAGAGGGAGAGGGAGAGAGGGAAAGAGGAGGGAGGGAGAGGAAGAGAGGGAAAGAGAAAGAGAGAGAGAAAGGGAGAGAGAGAAAAGAGAGAGAGGGAGGAGAGAGGAAGAGAGAAAGAAAGAGAGAGAGAGAGAGAGAGAGGAAGAAGAGATAGAAAAAAGAGGGAGAGGGAGAGAGAAAAAGAGGGAGAGAGAAGGAAGGAAGAGAGAAAGAGAGAGAGGGGAAGAGAGGAAGAGATAGAAAAGAGAGAGAGAGAGAGAGAGAGAGAGAGAGAGAGAGAGAGAGAGAGAGATGGCTAAACTTTTCACTTTGACTTCTGCAGGATTTTCTGCTCTTTGCATCGGACGTGCGCTATGAATAGAGAAGGGGCGAAGGAGAAACAGAGAAAAAGAGGGGGAAATGAAGGAATAATATCCCCACGTCAGATTCCAGTTTGGGAGTCTGCAGAAAGCTCTCCAGGAACAGCCCTTTTAACACGGAATTCCCCCCCCTCCCCCCCGCCCAACCTGCAGGACCATTGCTACAATCTCTTGAAGCTGGATGAAAGGGGCACCAGGATGGGGAAGGGGTTTCCGTGGCCATTTTCTTTCAGCCCGGCAAGAAGGTTCACTTCCTCTTTTCCCACCCGGCCCCTTTGGCCACGGGGTCAAGAGTGCCCCACTTGCAAGTAGGTGGAGCTCCTTAGAGGAACCCCTGGACATTATCTGGTCTGCTGTCCCTGGGAAAAGAGGCTGGGGTCAGGCGAGGCCACGGGGGGGGTCGGGTGAGGGTCAGTGGCGTTCTGGGGTTCTCAGGGGTCTCTGAGCTTGTTCGCTTCCTTCCAGATATTTGGTTATTAAACTGGGTTCTACACAACCTTTTAGCACTGATGATGTTACCTAGCTGGGTCATGAAATGTCTGAAAGAAAACGACCAAACTCAGAGAGCACCCAGGACCCCACAGTTCTCCTCCTCCTCCTCCTCTTCCTCCTCCTTCTCCTCCTCTTCCTCCTCCCTCTTCCTCCTCGTCCTCCTTCTCCTCCTCCTCTTCCTCCTCCCTCTTCCTCTTCCTCCTCCTTCTCCTTCTCTTCCTCTTCCTCTTCCTTTCTCTTCCTCCTCTTCCTCCTCCTCTTTCTCCTCCTCCTCCTCCTCTTCCTCCTCCTCCTTTTCTTCTTCCTCCTCCTCCTTCTCCTCTTCCTCCTCCTTTTACTTTCTCTTCCTCCTCTTCCTCCTCCTCCTCTTCTCCTCTTCTTCCTCCTCCTCCTCTTCCTCCTCCTCCTTCTCCTTCTCCTCCTTTTCCTCCTCCTCCTTCTACTCCTTTCTCTTCCTCCTCCTCCTCCTCCTCTTCCTCCATCTCCTCCTCCTCTTCCTCCTCCTCCTCTTTCTCATCCTGCTCCTCCTCCTCCTCCTCCACAAACCCCCCTCCCTTCTAGCCCTCATGATGTTCCCTAGTTGGGTAACGAAACGCCTGAAAGAAAACCACCCAACTCAGAGAGCACAGAGGACTATTCAGCCCAGCCCTGAGCTACAAATATTCTTTTCTATGGCAGTTACATTTGTGTTTGCCCCTGTTTTCATCCATTGGCACCTTTGAACACCTCAAAATAATAATAATAATAAATCAACTGGAGACAAAGACTGGAATACTGGATAACTAGCTGAGGAATAAGTGCGGAGGAGCATGAGCATGTGTGAGTGAGTGAGAAAAAGAGCACGTGTGCATTGTCCCCAGCAACGTCTTGTGGTTCCTTTAACTCAGCGGTTCTCCACCTGTGGGTCGGGACCCCATTTGGGGCCGAACGACCATTTCACGGGGGTCGCCAAACAACGCAGTCCGCCATTTTTTTCCCCTTTTCCTTAGCTGTGCTACTTACTCCCTTTTATTCCATTGGCTTTTGAAAGCCAATAGAATAGACTCTCTTGAATAGAGTCTAATTCTATTGGCTCTCAAAAGCCAATAGGAATTGTCCAGGCTGTCTCTGCCCTGCTGAGCCCACCAAAAGCCCCAGTCTGCAAACGGTGCTGCACCTGTTGAGTAGTCCTCGACTTACGACCGGTTGGGGGTTGCGGCATTAAAAAGGTTGAGAACCACTGCGTTAACTCTATCTGGTCTCCGGGTCTTCCAAAGAACCAGCTGTGATTCTCTGATGGGTTGGGAGTGATTTGAGGGGGGCTGTTGACCTGGGTTGGAAGTTTGTGTGAACGGAGGGCGGTAAATCAAACCTGGGAGTCCCGTGTTAACACCTTTGCCTGCCCCTTCCCCTCCTTGGGGGACAATAGTAAAAGGCCAGATTCTGTCATCCCAGAGACGGGCACAAATCTCACTTGCGGAGGCTTGAGGAATGTCGCCTCCGGAAGGTTATCAGCTTGGAGCAGAAGGTAAAACACGACAACCTGGAAAGTTCACGACTGGATTAGAGAGATTTCCATCTCTTTACCAATCTTCCCTTGCTGCAAAACTAGACCGGAGGAATTCTGATTTATGGCTCTTTTTTGGGGGGGAAGGGAGGGAGGGAGGGAGGAAGGATGACTCTTTTTTTTTTTGAAGGAAGGAAGGAAAGAAAGAAGGAAGGAAGGAAGGAAGGAAGGAAAGGAAAGAGGAAGGGAGGGAGGGAGGGAGAGGGAGGAAGAAAGGAAGAGATAGGGAAAGGAAAGAGGAAGGAAAAAAGGAAGGGAGAGAGGGAGGAAGGAGAGATAAGGAAAGAGGGAGGGAAGGAGGGAGGAAGGGAAAGAAGGAAGGAAGGAAAGAGAGATAAGGAAAGGAAAGAGGAAGGAAGGGAGGGAGAGGAAGGAAGGAAGCAAGGAAGAGACAAGGAAAGGAAAAAGAAAAAAGAAAGGGAGGGAAGAAGGAGAGATAAGGAAAGAGGAAGGGAGGGAGGGAGGAGAGATAAGGAAGAAAGAGGGAAAGAGGGAGGGAGGGAGGGAGGAAAGAAGGAAGGAGAGATAAGGAAAGGAAAGAAAGGAAAAAGGTGAGGGAGGGAGGGAGGAAAGAGTGAAGGAAGGAAGGAAGGAAGGAAGGGAGAGAAGGAAAGGAAAGAGGAAGGAAGGAAGGAGAGATAAGGAAAGGAAGGAAGGAGGAAGGAAGAAAGGAGGGAAAGAGGGAAGGAAAGAGATAAGGAAAGGAAAGATGGACAGGAAGGGAGGGAGGTGAAGAAAGGGAAGAAGGGAAAGAAGTAGGGCTGGAAGGAATGGAAAGGAGGAAGGGAGATGAAGAAATGAGGGAGGGAAGAAGGAAAAGGGAGGGAGGGAAGAAGGAAAAGGGAGGGAGAGACAGAAGAAAAGGAAGGAAGGAAGGAAGGAAGGAAGGAAGGAAGGAGGGAAAGCTTTCCTTTTTTTTTTTTGTCTGCATTTGGTTATCTTTGACCAGGCTCAGAGGTTCACCAACCTCTGATGGACAAGTTCTGCCAAGTCTAAGTGGGGACCTTTTGGGGAGCCAGACAGCCCTTCATGAGCGCTGCCTCTCCCTTGTCCACAGAAGGTCCCCATGGTGTGTCACCCTCACGGATGGGAGCCTTCCCTAACCCCTTAGTTCCAGGTTGCTTCTCTCCTTGATGAGTTTCCATCCGTTGCTTCTTGTCCTGTCTCCAGGCGCTTTGGAGAAGAGCTTGACAGCCCCTCAGTGGAGCTTTTTAAGATCTCCTGTTTGGACAGGGAGTTAGACTGGAGGACCTCTAGGGTCCCTTCCAATTCTGTTATTCTGTTCTGTCATTCCATTATTCTTTCTATGGTCACCTGTATCCATCCCACCAAGCCCAGAGAAAGTCCAGAATGGTATAGGATCTCCTGCCATGGGTGGGGGGTGGGACTACTGGTGAAGCGGGCACAGCAGCGCCTGCACTGTCTGCGTTGCATGAGAAAAGCACATCTTCCTTCCCCTGTCCTGACCACTTTCTACAGGGGGGCGACCGAGAGCATCCTGTCATACAGCATCACGGTCTGGTTTGGAAGCATCCCTGCTTCAGACAGGAAGGCGGTGCAGAGAGTGGTGAGGACGGCAGAAAAGATCATTGGCCGTTCCCTCCCTCCCATCCAGGACATAGCACAGAAGTGTTGCTTGAGCAGGGTCCGTAAGATCATCTGGGACACTACACATCCTCTCCACAACCTGTTTTCCTTGTTCCCTTCTGGGAGGAGGGGGGTCCATGGTATCCGTAGCAGAACATCCGGATTCAGCCATAGTTTCATTCCGTACAGCATTAACCTTGTGAACTCTCAAGCTTCCTCCTTCCGTTATATCAGCGGTTCTCCACCTGTGGGTCGGGACCCCATTTGGGGTCGAACGACCATTTCACGGGGGTCGCCAAACAATGCAGTCCGCCATTTTTTCCCCCTTTTCCTTAGCTGTGCTCCTCCCTTTTATTCTATTGGCTTTTGAAAGCCAATAGAATAGACTCTCTTGAATAGAGCCTAATTCTATTGGCTTTCAAAAGCCAATAGGAATTGTCCAGGCTGTCTCTGCCCTGCTGAGCCCGCCAAAAGCCCCATTCTGCAAACGGTGCTGCACCAGTTGAGTAGTCCTCGACTTACGACCGGTTGAGTAGTCCTCGACTTATGACCGGTTGGGGGTCGTGGCATTAAAAAGGCTGAGAACCACTGCGTTATATATTCAAGATGGATAGTATTTAATATTTATTTTTTACGTATATGTAGGGATGTGGGTCTATACATGTGTTGTTCATAGTATGTTTAGGTGTGCATCATGTATGTGTTTCACTTTGAAATTTCATTTTTGATGTGTGCTGTTGTGCCCACAGTAAAAAAATGACAATAAAGGTTATCTTATCTTATCTTATCTTATCTTATCTATTATTCTATGTTCTGCTCTGCGTTCTTTTTGAGCGCCATTCAAGATGGACAATGGGACTTCTCTGGAGGCTGGACTTGGAGGTGGCCAGCAGAGGGCGCTAGAAGAGCAGGAAAGAACCATCTCTAAAGGCCACATTTAGGATTGAATAGAATAGAATAGAATAGAATAGAATAGAATAGAATAGAATAGAATAGAATAGAATATGGAATGAAATAGAATAGAATAGAATAGAATAGAATAGAATAGAATAGAATAGAATAGAGGGGAAGGGACCTTGGAGGTCCTCTAGTCCAACCCGCTGCCCAAGCAGGAGAGCCTACACCATTTTTGACAGATGGCAGTCCAGTCTGTTCTTGAAAGCCTCCAGTGATGAAGCATCCACAATTTCTGGTGGTAGGCTGTTCCACTGGTTAATTGTCCTCACTGTTAGGAAGTTTCTCCTTAATTCCAGGTTGCTTCTCTCCTTGGTCAGTTCCCACCCGTTGTTTCTTGTCCTGCCTTCAGGGGCTTTGGAAAATAGCTTGACTCCCTCTTCTTTGGGGCAGCCCCTGAGATATTGGAAGGCTGCTATCATGTCACCCCCCCCCCCCTAGTCCTTCTTTTCTCTAGACTGGCCATTCCTAAATCCTGCAGCCGTTCTTCATATGTTTTAGTCTCCAGGCCTTGGATCATCTTAGTTCCTCTTCATCTTGTTTGTAATTACGAAAACTGGATGCTGTATTCCAGGTGTGTCCTTACTAAGGCTTTATCATGTTCTGTTTTGTTGCATGCCTTCGGCCATCCCCCCTCTTTTTTTCTTTTGAAGAATTAATTAATGGAGGTTTTTTTCCCTGTTCTGGGAATCGAGTTAGGAATGTCTGCAACTGAGGGAGAAAAGGGGGGGTGGGGTTCATTATCTTAGCAAATGAGTGAACTGGGGTCAGGCAGGCTCCCCCCCCCCAGGAATTGCTAAGCTTCCTTTGCTTTAAAGCAGGGGTCTCCAACCCCCGGTATTGGGCCACGGCATGCCAGCAACCGGTCCGCACAAACAAGCAAAGCCCCATCCGTGGGATGTAGGCAGCACACAAAACCACACAGCCTCCGTCTGTGGAAAAACTTCTCTCCACGGAACAGGTGACCCCTGGCGCCCCAAAGGTTGGGAACCCCTGTTTGAACTGCCCAGCTTGAACTATTGAGCTGACACAGGAGGGAGTAAA